AACCTTACGTCTCCGATTCCGGAGTCCCCGGCAGGTAGTGGTTAATCATTGTCACTTATGAAGAATCATAACAAAGGATTGCTTTGGTGTTGCTCGTTTGAATAGCTTGTGATTTGAATTCAGACTGGAGGTCTTGTGAAGGTCTTGCGGTCTTGTGATGGTCTTTTGGGGTCTTCACTGCAGTTATTTGTGTTTGGGCTTTGTTTCAGATCCCCAAGGCCACCTACTATCTTGGCGACACAGAGGAACCAGTTGACTTCTCCAGCATGAGGAATGGCTCCATTGTAAGTTTGCTTCAGTGTTCGAATGTCGGGGCTTTTCTCAGACAGAAATCTGGCCGGGAGATGAAAGAAAATTCACAATTGAAAAACCTGTACTTGGCATACTTGTCCACCTACTCCCTGATATACGTGGAGATGGCAGCTGAGACCCAAGTTAAACTACAGAATTATCTGTGCTTGTGCTACTCCAGAAAGCTTGCAAACTGTCAATTTTTTTAGTCATGGCTGGGGCATTCCCAAAGGCTTTCTTTCAGATATAAATAGAGGAGTGTTACAAGTGTAACCACAACTCGTTTTAAAAAGGGGTGGTGGTAATTGCAGTACTTTTTAGTCTTGAAGATTTCCCATCCAGTTTTGCCAGGATTTCATTCATTGCTTGTTAAAATATCGTGTAGAAAGAGATGCATTCAGATCACAACCCGTTAGCTTGTACTCAATTCAAATTCTCTTCACTTAACTCTCCTTGCAGATCAGCTACAGCGTCAAGCCTGTCCAGCTGACCCTCCTGCGACTCATGTACTCCCAGGCCAAGCAGAACCTCACCTATCACTGCAGGAATTCCCACGCCGTGGCCAACAAAGCCGGTAGCGTGGTCAAAGCTCTGACCCTAGTGGGACCCAATGACGTGCGCATGAACATCAAGAACACCCGGAAAGACTTGCAGTATGAAGTGGAAGGAGAAGACGGGTGCACGGTAGGTATCTGTGTCTGCCTCACTTCCTAATATGACTCCTCCATGGCTTTGGTTCAAGACAAAGTCACCACTAACTGCCCGTTGTGTTTGCAAATGTTTCAGATGCACGACAACACCTGGGGCAAGACCACCGTCTCCTTCACCACGAAGAAAACCGAACGTCTACCCTTGGTTGACTTTGCCGTGTTGGATGTGGGCAGAGCCAAGCAACAATTCGGGGTGGCAATCGGCCCTGTCTGCTTCTCATAGAGGCAGACAATTTCTCAGCAGTTGTGTCATGGCAGTCATTTCTGATGGGGTGGGGAGATACAAACTAAACAAACACACAGAAAGACAGAGAAAACTCTTTGTGTAGCTTTGCTACATGCACACACTCAGGGGAATCAGGCCTTCCTGCTCATGCAAGGTAGGCCGGGTGAACGTTGCACATTTTCACAGTGAACTGAGCTTCATCAGCATTTGACAGGATCCAGGCGAAATTTGGGATCGTTTTTCTCCTTTGTCAACTGCCATGACAGAAAATCACAACTGCCTGATAATTGATATATGATAATTTCAATAATGTGTTCCCCTTTAAAGGCTGCCGAGGAAATTAATGGTGCTAGTATCTTTAGGCTGATGAAGTCTTCTGTATTCTTTTTAGTAAAAATCAAGAGCAAAGTCTACCTTTGTACTTAATTAAAAGTGCTGCTGTTTTAACCCCTTCATGCCGGGATTCTTTTGACTGGGACTGCTGGGCTGTGGTATGCCCAGTATGCAACGCCCTGTCCAGCGCAGGCCCACATTGAAACCGCAGGTGCATGATGAATAGAATATATGTGTGCTATGCACTAATCCTCACACAAAGCCGCGGCTGTCAACGTCTCCTGGCGCGAAGGGGTTAATACAGATATATTGACGCTACAATTTAGAAAGAACTGTTGCTTTTAAATGTAGATGTTAGACTCTGCAGCTTTATGTGATGCCTCCCCATATTTGCCTGTTCTCGAGTTTACAGTTAAGAAGTACTAACCTTGACATGGTTGATGTGTCATGTTTTTCATGATGCATTTTTATTGGTCTAAATGTAGCGTGACAGGATTTTTCAAACAGAATGTGAGGTCATTTGCATCTCTAAGATGCCACAAGGCACGTCACATGGGGTGTGCCCCTTGTCGAAGTATTGCTACAATCTCATGTCCTCCAGAAAAGCTCACAGCACTCAAAACTTTAACCTCAGTTCACTTGTGACCCAACCTAGGTTACCTAACAAAATGAGCACCGAGTCGCCAGTGCAACTTTGAATGAAAGGCCCAGGAGAGAATCCTGCACCGTGTAAATCATCAGGAACCCTCAACATTTTTCACCAATATATTGTCCACTTTCATCAGGATGCCAGAACAGGCAATAGATCAAAGACATAGAACTCAATTTGTTCTGTCTCCTGGATACTAAAACAAAATTATCCTAATTGTGGCATCAAGACTCATGTTTGCGTGATCCAGTCACATTTGGTTGAATGTCGTCGTCATGAAAACATTTTGCTACCTCCGCCTCTGAGGATAGACAGGGCATGAAAAATGCCAGACCGGTCATTACATCAGTTATTCCTTTATTCAGTGATTGTAAAGCGATCACCATTTGGACCAAACTAAATGTAATGTATTTTAGATGAACGGAAGAGAAAGGGATGTTGACCTGATCCAGTCCCCCCACTGTTTGACATTTTCCAATAGCATGCTGCCAGTCTGTGCAAAAATCGACTGTTTTGGTAGCTGTGATTTACAAAGGAAAACTAAGTTTCAGAATATCACTTAGAACTACTGATTTTTGTAATCACGTGTCCAAATGTTGTGCGTGCTTCAAAAGCGTCTTTGGAGCAGTTTGGCAGTTTATCATAAAGAAAGCAATAAAGCACGAAAAATCATCTTGTATTAATTAGTTTTATTTTCTTTCAAACTTTTCAGATGACAAAATTACAAACCAAAGTGGGCTCCTTAGTTCGCATGAACAGCATTTAAATACAAAAACTGAGGTTACATTGCATGTGACTGATGACTGACAGTGGCAGAAAGTCTAGCAGACTACTTGTCTGTGGATTCAGCTATCAATGGCTTGAGGGTTTAGGTCATATTGACTTTTGGCATCTTTGTTGATGTGCCTACAGGCTAAAAAAGCTGAACAGGCCAAAATAAGACAGGTTCCTAAACGTAGCAATCTGTGCCTAGGTAAGCGTCTTCAAAAATAAAATGTATCAAACTTCATAATGACAGGGATTTCAGGTCATTGCTGCATCAGTTCAACAAAATTATAAACAAGAATCTATATTCGTGTTTGTCTAGCGAGAATGGCTCGGTATGACACAATTCGAATACAACACTGATATGAGTTAGTGGTCAAATATCACTTGAAGCTGTGTTGACAAAGTTGAAAAAAAATCATATGTTGTTAAAATGTCAAAATCAAATCTCTAAAAGGAATAGGCGTAAGTGCAGATGGCATCGCACTGTGGTTTACACGCACCTTCCTATGGAGCCAGTGGGGACCCATGGCCCACTGACAACCATAGCAAAGCACACACACAAAGTGTGGCGTCATCAGTACAGGGGTCTACTGAGTAACAAGGATGTGGGTTCCCTGAGGCAACTCACATCAGTAGTGCAAGAGTCTACATTACATGTACGTACTTTACAGGTGTTGGTCGTATAATTGACGCTATGATGATGCTATGCTATTGATGCTAGGTAATCCTTTACTTCAGCTGGTTCCAGTCGGCGGAATCCACTCTCGTTGCAGATTCCTATCTCTATATTATCCTCGTTCATCTGCCCTTCAAAACTTTCCTGTCAGATTAAAAAAAAAAGGGAAATTGAACTATGAAATGAATTTGGTCCAGTGTCTGCAGATACAGTCAAAACTGACACCTAACCCGCCCCCCAAGAAATTACATTTGCGATACTGCAGCGCAAAACTCTTGAACCAATTGAACTCTACATGATGTACTCCTGATGAAAGTCTGTGGGCATGTGAAGTTTCAAAGAGATTAAACACAAAACAGGCAAGACCCCCCCCCCAGCTGCCAGATAACCTGGAAAAAACCACTGTTTTAGGGTTACGTTGTCTTGACGACAACAACCCTCTTACCTTGAGAGTGAGTATAGCGGTATGGACTGCATCCTCCAACTCCAAGTCCTCGTTGTACCGCTTCTCCAAGAAGGTCTTGCCATTGATGTGGTTCTTGCCCATGGCCGTGGCCTTCCAGGGGAAGTAGGCCCCTGAAGGATCGCACTGGAAGAGGAAGGGCTTGGCATCGTCCTCGTCCCAGCCAGCGACGAGGAGGGACACGCCGAACGGACGCACACCGCTGGATGAGGATAAAAACAAATGACTGCCAAGTTATGGCACTGCATATATTAACTGTTGAAGGAATTTGTGGACAGGCCTTCACGACGTTAAGGGGACATTTTCTTCTGTTGGACAAATTAGGACCAAGTTGCAGGGACATGTCTCTGTTCCCATGTTTTCGGTTGCCACAAAATAGGTAATATTATCGTGTTTGTCTCCATGACAACGGAACAAGTATGGGGTGTGTAGGTGCGCCTATGTCTGGGCGGCCTCGCCTTGTGGGGACCCTTTCTTCAGTTAGGAAATTAGGGACAGAGTCGTGGGTACAAAGTTGTCCCCATTACAAATATACCCCCATAGTAACTATCACAGTGTTGCAGTCTGCAGCACTGTAGTGGACATGACTGCAAGTTTGCGTTTGACATGAACTGTGACAAAAGCATCTCTTCGTTGTTGTTTGCTCTGTTTCTTATCACTGCTCTTGGTGAAAGGATTTATGAAGGGTACTTGTGGAAGGACTACAAGCCTTCCAGTCGAGTAACTTACCCAATCTGTGTGTATTCCTGCATGACATTTGCCACTTTGTGGACGAGCTGAGCTGTTGGAATCTGCTCCTGGTACGTCAAGAAGTAACCCTGGGCCAACTTCCGAGCTTGTCTCACCAATAACCTGTCCACAGCAATGTCCAAATTCACACGTGCTCGTGAAATCTTACTTCCACTGTCACCATTCTTTGGAAAGAGAGTTTGTGTGACCACTCCACTGAAGAATCTCTTCCAGCTATAGTCTGAACATGGCCCTCAATATCCCAATCATATTATATAGTCTGAATCGCTCTTATAACTTTTGATGGGAGTCAACTTATAAAAAGGGAATTTTCCATGTGCACACAAAATGGCAGTGCATTTGGTGAGCATGTATATACCTACTGTACCTAAGGTCTAGACCAAGCAGAAACAAACAGAAACAGAACCAACACGGCTTTGGACGCCCTGATGGTGTTGCCTCTCTTTGTATGCGGGATGAGGCCAGGTCTCCAGTCTTTCTCAGATATAATCAGAAATGAAGAATGCCCTCAACTTGCTTCCAGAGTGTTTAAAAGTGGCGGACTGCCACTCAAGACCCACACTCTTGGTGGACTCAAGAACGGTGATGTTTATAAATCATAACTGGAATCACCCTTGCTACTATGAAGGAATTGAACTCTAGCTATGCCTAAATTGCAGCCAGATTCTGTGTGACTGTAACTGTATCCTGGAATCTGAAAACCATAATTTTTCTGAGAGCTGAGCATCTGTGTTTGCCAGAAATCCCAAGCGCCCCCAAGAAGCATTGCACTTTTCTTATTCAATCTTATAATTTTTCTTATCCAATCATTTATTTTATGTTAATATTTTTGACAAGGTATGACATTTCTTCAACTTGAAGACTTTGGGAGGGTACATCCCCTTTAAACTGGCAGGTAAGGTAGGAAAGGTTGGCTCGCTAAAATAAAGAAGTTTCAAGTTAGAGGCAGCAACCATACCTGTAGTCTGGTCCCATGCCGCTGTAGACCATGCCAATTTTCTTGGTGATCTTCTCAATTTTGCACACGCTGTGCTCGTCGTACAGAACTGACTTGTGCTTCTTCTCTGTTGCTATGACGACGCCATTGGATGCCTTGATGCCCACAGAGGGGGCACCTGCTGCCACAGCATTTAGGGCATACTCGATCTGTACTAGCTTCCCAGATGGGCTGCAAGGGAAAATAGAGACAGATGTAGGCATTGAGAGAAATGAGATTGTTTCATCCGCACATGAGAGAAATTACTGAACGATTCCTTGAATAAATGTAATTTGAACCATTTAAAAGATACTTTCTCAAAAGATACAGATGTAGGCATTGAAATGAGATTGTTTCATTTGCACATGAGAGAAATTGCTTCACGATTCCTTGAATGAATGTAATTTGAAGTATTCATAAGATACTTTATAGTTAGTCTGAACAGAAAAAAAAATCAGATCCTTGTTATTACAATGTAAGTCATTGACTCTCATTAAGTCACATTTCCTTGTAACTGATAATTTTGATTCCAACCATTAGAACATTCAAAATAACTTTTATTACCCATGTCATGCACTTGATGCCAAGCAACAACACATTGATAGACCTTGCAGTTGAACTACGAGTAATTTTACTGCATCCGACCCCATACAAATTGTAAATTGTGCTTAAAAGTAAAGGGAAAGAGTTCCATATACAGATGCCACTTGATACCTTGTGCATAAACCATGTGAAAGTGAAGAAATTTCTCAGCTAATTTCACATTTTAGGACACTGTTATCACCTTCTGTATGTTCTGCTAATGGCTGTTTTAACATTTTAATATGGGAATATTAGTGTTGTCTGTATTTAGAACTCTTGCCGAACTGAGTAATTTCATTGTATGGACGTCTTCCCGGTTAAGTATACTCGGCCATGGTCCCCAGCACAGACTTGATAATACAGCATCACAATAAGCCTTGTCGAGTTAAAGTTGAATCAAATCTGGTACACTGAGTTATATATACATCTGATTACACATAAACATGCCAATTTAAATTCCCCAGACTAAAGACACTGTTGCTATACCTCGTGATTCGAGCCAAGCTTTTGCATAGTGACTATCATCTCTGGAATGGACTGGTTCCTTTGTGCCCTCTGAAAATAATGACTATATTGTGCAAGGTGTGAGAAGAGTTCCATAGATGGACGCCAGTAATTCTTTCCTACAGTGACTTAATAGCCATCACTCAGAAAGCAAAATTTGTCCAGAAAAGTTCACTTTAGGAGGGAAAATAACAAGTCGATTTACTGAGAAAACACTTAGAATTTTTCAGACCAGTCTCATAGGGTTTGTGTGCAGGGTGTCAAGTGGCATGTGGAACTGTTCCCAAAGGCGTCTCTTATTTGTAACTGAGCAGAAGCTTGTCCCAAATCACGAGGTACAGCAACAGTGTCTTTAGCAGGAAGAATTCAAACTGTTATGTTCACGTGAATTTAAAGAACTCAGTACACCAGATTTTATTCAAATTTAACTCACAAAAAGCTTATTAGAAAATATTACACATCGTGAGGTAAGCAGGGCACAGCCTAGCCCAGGTTGGACCATGGAGGAATAAAACATGGTTGGACGTTGTCTTCATTTCCCTCCGTAACGTAGTACGGTCAGGGAGTCCATTGGGCTAGGCACAGCCGTGCTCATGACTTTGCAAATAGCCTAATGACAAAAAATTTAAAGAGAAAACAAATCAACTTAAAAGAAAGAAATATAATCTTTCCACATGAAATTAAAAGAAGTATGATATACAATCTTCCAGCCTGGATTAACTACAAAATCGGTTTATCGGAAATTTACCTAAAAGTTGTCAAGGAAAAACTGTATCGCTCAGTCATGGTGTGAATGAATGATCTTGCTATAACTGCTCTGCAACCAGACGCTACCCAGACGCATTCAACTATAGTTAACATGCGAGCAAAAAGCAGGGAACCTGACTCCCATTCAGCACGTGAGGGCGCTGTAACCACAAACCGGGTTGATTGCAAAGACTCAAAGAGCTGTAATTTGGAAAATGAATAAGTTGTCTAGAATCCTTCAAAAATTTCACCTTTCCTTCCGAGAGTTGGAATTAAGATTTTGGGAGAGATTTGGAGGTAATCCACCCTTGGGTAAGGACTTTTTATAATTGTTTCCAGAATGATTTAGGCTCATTCTTATCAAGAAGTCTAGCTCAACTGAGTGTAGCCCTACTAGTGTGGCACAGTCACTCCCGGTCTATCCTTAGCCACACATCCGTATGCACAGTTTCGTGTCGGCGTACTTAACATTTTCGGCGCACCCACTTATCATCGTGGGCGCAATTTCTTTTGCACACGAACATGATCCTTGACCTTTCCATTTTCTAAAAACCATTTATTGAATGATTTCACTCACGTTATTCAGGTATTTTACAGTCTTTTTGCCATTCAATCTAACAGGCTCGCTCTCTCAGTCGCCATCTTTAAAATAAGATCGTTGAACAATACGTCCTTGACCCCTCATCGTCTCGACGGCTCTTCTATGTCAAACAGTTTACGTATGTCTTGACATGATAATAAGTGGGTCCGCCGAAAATGTTCAGTACGCCGACACGAAATTGCGCATACGGATGTGTGGCTAAGGATGGATCGGGAGTGAGAGTCCGTGCCACACTAGTGGGGCTATACTGATTGGAGCGTTAGGCTTTAGGCCTACAGTTACTTCACCCCATTTCCACGTAACCCCCTAACCACTTTGTCCCATCCCCACTTAACCCCATACCCACATCGCCCCATCTCCACTTCGTCCCATCCCCACATCGCCCTGTCCGTGCTCGAGTGTGTTACAAGCATAGGGCCTAGCTCTACTTGGTACTAAGTGGAACGTTAGTATTCCTGTTTTTTTATTTTGGACGGGATTGTCATACTAACGTTCCACGCCTAGAGTGGAATTATAGTACCCCTGGAACTGTGGGGTCCAACGTTTGCCCCGTTCCCACGTTGTCTGGGCAAAAGACTAGTTGATTGTGAAACAGTCGTTGGTAGAACTCCCAAACGTCACATCAACGAGTCTTGTGCTCAAACCACAGATAAGCCACTCATGCATGTGTCTTGGAGGACCATGATCGCCCATACACTTATTGCGCTAGGGAAATCTAGGCACGTGTATTTGAATGGGAGGAGGCATCGAAAATGCTCAGATTTTGACAAATTTTGGAGTCTGAAATATCGTTGAAGCCCCAACAGTTTGACTTTGGCATTTAGGTAGTAATAAAGGTACGTTTGGTCAGTATTTGGAATTTTTGGGAACCGTTGTCACTTTACAATGCATTAAGCAAACGTATTAGTAATACCATGCGTAACCCCACGAGGGAAAGAGTGCCATATAAGGACGCCAGTAGTTCTTCCTTACAGTGACTTAATAGCCTTCAGAAACCAAAAACATGTCAAGAAAAGTTCAATTTATGAGGGAAAATACCACATTGTATACCAAGAAAACACTTAGATTCTTTTTCGGACCAGTCTCATAGGCATAGGGTTTTAGCACAGGGTGTCAAGTGGCGTCCGTGTATATGGAACTCTTTCCCCCACTAGTTTGGCCCGGAGACTAGCCCCAGACGAGGGCCAGTCCTCTAGACTACCTTCGGAAAAGAGTTCTGCATATGGATGCCACTTGACACCCCATACACAAACCTTATGAGACGTGTTTACTCAGTAAACGACAGTGGTATTTTCCTTCCTAAAATAAACTCTTCTGGATGTATGTTTTTGCTTTATGGCAAATAGGTCACTGTAGCCTATAGGGAATTATATTGGTGTCTGTATTATGGAACTCTCCCCCCACCCAAAAAAATGGGGAACTTGATGAGAAAGCTTTATGATATTTTTCTTATTTTGTTTTCGTATTTTTTTTTCAGTTTGGTATACGGCTTCACTGACCTGATTAATCTGTTTATTAAATCACCAGGAAAGAGTTCCATCTGTGGGTCTACGGAAAACACTTGATGCCCCTATGAACAAACCTAGACTTTTCTGAAAAAAACTAAATGTTTTCTAAGTAAATGCTTCACAAATCAATTTCAAATTGATCTGGACACTGTTGTGTTTTCAGATCTGTTTAATTCGTGATTGAAGACAGCCTAGATTCATGTTGTAGACAACCTGGAATCGTAAATGTAATATAAGTGTATCTGCAAACGAGTTTGCCCATATTAATTTGCAGTATATTTGCACCCAAATGACAAAGCTCACTGTGTAAAGGGTTTCTGCAAATCACATCAGAAATACTGTTCAAATGACCCTTACAAATCAGTAGGGCCTATTTGTGGCATTTGGTTGTTTATTAATAGTGTTCCGCTATAACTTGGCTTATTTGAAAAAAATCTGAATTTTCAGCCAAAAAATAATACTGCTGGTGAGTGGTTAAGTCAATTGAATTGAGATCTCAAGCATGGCTAGTGAGGTAGTAGTGAGGACTTTGCCTTTCCCTTGAGCATGAAAAATAACATGTAGAGAAGTCTGTCAGCTGAAGAGCCAGTGAAGTTGGTGTGATTTTATTCTGCAAATGTTCCCACAATCAGGGGTTCCATTGTGGTTTTAGTCGTACAAAACTAAAGCACTTTTTTTTTTACTTCAGGCCCAGCTCTCGCAATCCAAGGTCCAGCGTTAATTCAGGACAGAGCAGCAGACAGTGGTGGAGACCTAGCGAGCATCTTCGATGGCCTGTTGTGGGCAGTACCCAAGCACAGACGTTCCATCCAGCGCAATCGCACCCGACGAAGGGACACACAGAAGCTGATTAAACACATACCCCAGGAGAGGTTCACTACTTGTGAAGTCTGTGGTCACACCAGGATGATCGGGTTTCTCTGTGGGTGAGTTCAACATTTGGAATACATGTACATGTCAAAAGAGAAGTTGTCTACTTGGATAGTTTGTAGCCATAGCAAGATAACTGGGGGCCTCTGCGGGCAAGTCCAAATGTTCATTTTTGTTTGCTCTCTAGAGAAATTTTGGGGATGACACTTGTTCAAGCGAGAAGCATAATTTTTAAAAATCCACAAGGGAACCTAGTTACTTGTAGCAGTGTTGCTTACTAGGAAATCAAACTGCTAAATGCAGATGGAATGGAAATCCCAACTGATGTCTACTCTTGAACATCTAAATGGGTAATTGTGTATGTGTGTTGTTTTGCCAGGAATTCACTCGGCATAGTAGATAATCATTATAAACTTGGATTTTATGCCTATGGGACAAAGTTGTTTATACAGATGTTATCGAAATCCATTGGAGGTGTCGTCAAGAGCCATATGTAGAAGTTAAGTTTTTATTGGAAATGTAACAATTTGTTGGTTACATTGTTTCTTTTCAATTGGTTCTCCTGGGAAGCCTCCTTACACCCACCTCCTGGCCCAAAGTGCTAGGAATAACCTGGAGATCTGACACCAACCTGCATAATATGGGACCTTTATAAAACGCTATATTTCTTGCTCCTTCTCCAGACACTGCTTGATCAGAATAAGGCAGGAAACAAGGGAAATCAGGGACCGACTCATGGGCCAGCTAGACGAGACCCAAATGCTCCCAGAGAAGGAAAGCGTCGTCGTGTACGAGGGAGAAACGGCAAGGCCTGAGGACAAGGAGAAGTTGATCGTTGAAATGAAAAAGAAAAGACCCCCTTGGTTCAGCAGGGCCCTGCTGGAGTAGCCCTGAGTTGCACAAACATTTGATATCTCCCTGTGACTCTTCCATTTGGATGTGTCTGTTCTGGAGTTCTCCGCTTGTCCAGTCAGCTGGCTCCATCTGTAGTGATTTACACCATCAAATACGGAGGTAACAGCACCCTCTATGGACCAACCACCAGCATTAAGAGTTTGCCATTTCCGATGCTTTCCAAGTGTTTGGCCCATAAAGCATCTGTACATGTAGGTTTTCATTTTTCCCCAAAAGATCGTCAAAAAAAAGTCCCAAGTATAGAAAGAAAGTGCCATCAATCTTCCATTAAGGTCCCCCCAAAAAGTCTCCAGTTTCTAGTCAGGAGCTGGCTCTAAAAGTGGTGGGGCGACGTAGATTTTTTTTAACCTGCATTTTTTAAAAAATTTTTTCTGGAAATTATGCGTGTATAATGCGCGATGTCCATTGCGACTGCATGCACACGAAACGCCTGCCGCTACCAACACTAAAATAGACTGGCCCCTGTGCTTTTATTGTTTGAAAGCATTTTCAGTTTGTACATGTGCACAGGACATAAGACCACATCATTTGTCTGGTTCCCAGATGTACAAAAATGACGTCATCTGAAAAAGAGTGCCCAACTAAATGTATGGGGAAACTAAAGGGACTCGTTTACTGGGCATATTGCCCAACCATACCCCATCAAAAACACGTTAAAATTACGCAGTAGCAGGATTCCGGTCAGTGTAGCAAGTTGGGCAGCTTGTGGACATCATTTTATACCAAATAAAAACTTTGCCGTCACGCAGGTCTATGGCAGTTGCGTGCGCTGACCAGAAACCAGAGACTTTTGGGGGGCCTAATGTTATACTTTTTTATTTGTTTTTGTTTTTCTGAACCAAAGCATGATAAAACTTCAAATTAATCAGCTTACTTTTGTGAGGTATGCCGCAAAAATTATGCTTTGAATGTGAAGTGTTTTCTACTCACTAAATACAGTCACACTAGAATCAATTGATTTCTGAAAAGCCATGCACAATTTTGATGTTTGCCAAGGAACCAACATTATAGAAAGTTCCTTCTTGAATTTGGATAGTTATATACATGTATTGTGTCACCGACTTGTGCTTTTCTCTGTTCAATGACAATGCGGTCATCACAGTTTACAAAAAATAAAGTTTTCTAAAATCCACTCAATACCACCAAAAAGTTTGTGTTCTTGGCCTTAAGAAAAAGAGAGGTAAGGACATACATGTACAAGCACGTCATCCAGTGTATTGCATATTTTGGTTTATTTCTGAATTGTTTTTAGAAACAAAGTGAAGTATACATATGAAACCTCTGACTGCCAACGACACAATGTATTTTAACCTGCAGTGATGCAGAAATGATGCTTCAGACAATAATTTTCAAGATGTATTTTTTTTTCAGACAATAAGTTTTTCAGACAATAAGTTGACTTGATATCTGAAAACTTACACCAATTATAAAGCACAAACATGTGTACACAGGATCCTACTCCATGATATGTGCTGGTTTTTTTTCTCTCTCAACTTTTCCAAGTGATCAAGATTAATCAAATGAATTCCTGCCGTATGCATTCATCATAAGGCACATAAGACTGACCGGTGAATTACTGTTTCCAGTTATGTCAAATGGTACTCAATGCTAAAATGACTAATAAAATATTGCACCCAACCATGGTGCTCATTTTAAGAATACTTCGCAGAGGAGAGAAAACCGTCCCTGGAAAAAGTTGAAGAGGGTGGCTTGCAGCTTCATCCTCATCAGATGATAAATTCTCTGAACTCCTGCATAGTGCCAGTTCTTAGGCTGCTCTTCCATCACTGATATGAAGTAATTTGTAATAGGAAGTTTTTGTACGGAACTTCAAACAGTTTTTCCTCCCTCAAGAATGCCCATGTCACACACTGACTTGGAGAGCAACTTGTCTACAAGCATCCTGTCTACTCGCATTGTCCGCTGCATCCTCAGATGAGATTGGGGTGTAGAAAGCAAAAGCTAGGCAGTAGAAGATGAAGACCACGCCTTTAATGATCATGCCCAGCACGGTGGCGTAAAGTGAGAGATCAGCGCGATTGTAGAACCAACACTGTCCCCTCTCCCCGCATTCTTGGTGCCACAGCGTGCAGGCGGTGTCGAAGATATACCCGAATATGATTGGTCCGGGGATGGATCCTTAGAAAGTAGATCATTGAAAGGAGATAAATTGCTTCAATTAGCTAACACTGTACACTTGGGCATTTTGTATTATATGTTACAGTCGCACTCCATCGTCCATGATGTACATACGTGTGGCTTTAAGAGGCATTCACCAATAAACAGAAAGCCTGTGATTACCCCCTTTAATCCTAAATATCCTAATTCCCCCCCCCCCTTTTTTTAGAATTTTGCAAATTTTCTTAGTGCTAGCAAACTTTTTTAGAATTTTGCAAACTTTCATAGTGTTAGCAAACTTACAATTAAAACAAATACATATGAAGAAGTTGGTTTATCTATGTAATTTTTCCCCAAAACAGGTGAGACAGGATTTGCTTCTTTATCAAGAAAAAGTATTTAAAGTTGATGTTTAAAAACATACTCTCACTCCTCGCAGTAACCTTCTTAAGATTCAACACACAACAACACAGGATCACAAAATCACTTGCATAACATGGACTTTTTGTAATTGGCCAAGCCAAATACATGTCACTTCATGTCTATTAAACAATTTTTGCCAGGGGTACAATTTATCTTTAAAAAAAGTCAAAACAAACAATACAAAAATAGTGACAGGAAAATAAAATTTTAACAGGAGTGCTCCTTCAAACCAGGAAATGAGTGGAGGGGGGGACTATCTTTGCTGACCCACATGTACATGTATGTACATGTATACATTTATCACTATGATGTGGCAAGAGACTCAGATTAGTAATGAAAAGAGTGTCATTGTAAATGGAAATGATACATATATGTTTCAGTGGAAGTAATTTTTTTACCTGGTAATCTTTGAACATGTACCTTCGGAGAAGGTTTTGCTGTAAAAACGTTCTTTCGTGAATGACTTACAGCACTTTGTGCCAAGGCCACAGTACATTATGCCGAGGCCGTAGCATATTAAAGTAACAGCAGCCACCCATGTCATTTGTCAAGATAAACTATCGTGAATGAGGGAAGACAGTGTGGATTTCACAGTCACCCCTTGAATGTTGAACCAGAGACCTGCATGAACAGCCAAAAATGTCATGACTGTCAACTGCAGCGGGTTCCCATACGGTACGGTACGTACGTACGAGGGAAACAGAAATATGTGGCTTGTTTCCACTGTGAGTCATGCTATCAAAGTCCACCCAGAGACATTTCCTGGAGCAGTGATGGCAATGATTAATCAGGGCCAGCTGCACTTACCCAAAGACCTGACTAGAAAGCCATGCAGTCCCAGAGCATATGCCTGCTGGCCATCTGGCACACATCTGAAACAGAAGAAGTAGTGCTGATATTTTGTTGTTAACTTGTGACATGTTGCTTGTGACTAGATATCCTGGCTCTAACTAATACTGTAGACACCAGCAATTCATACAAGCACTCTGATGCATGTAATGATAAACGAGTGTTTGGGAACAATATTTATAACAATGTTGGATGTATGTACATGTAGTTGCATGTACAGTGGACACACATCTCTCAAGTATCAATATTTCTTTGCAACATTGGAGATCATCTGGAACAAAATGAGTGGTACACAGTACATGCATGTAGTACTCTGTGTCATAGCACTGTGTCATCTACTGCTGTTGCTAGTAAATGATCTAGTTTTCAGAATTATTTGTATAGTTTTTTCTCTGATCAATTTTAGGATGATGCTGTAGGGTGCATCTGAAGCCAAACAGCATCACTGACTGACAAAGGGGGGGGCCTTAATGATGCCACACCCCTCCCCTCCAAAAAAAACCCAGAAGCATACTTGGGTGGGGGATGAGAAAAATGAAATTTTGGGAGACTAGTTCACTTCTTTTCCAAAGTATGTAAAGAGCCCCCCAAATTTTCTTACCCCTCAGAAAGGCCAGAAAAAGTAAAAAAAACTCAAATTTTTGGTCCCACCTCCACCCCGCTCCCCCCAAAATGGCCCACTCCCCTTCCCCAAAGGAACTTTGGTTCTGGATTTGCTCTCAACCGGCACAATCTCTGTGCTGGTTAAGGACAGATCCAGAACCAAAGCAGCATGGTCTAGCAACCTGAAAGGTTGTAAGTTTAACACGTTGACTGCAGCACATAGTTTCAAATGGCCGTTCCCATTTGCCAAGCATACTGTGCGCATGTGAGCATATTTAATAGGTACCTTTCAGGTGTCTACTCTAACATGAGCATTTTACAGATCCTCCACACTGCCAGCAGCATACTTGTTGTGTTCTTCAGTGATGCCAGTGTAGCCAATTTAAATTACAATCGCCTTTTATTTCCTCTGAGTATACTCATAGTGGCAAAATATGGTACACCTGTTACTACGAGTATGCTCGTAGTTAGCAGTTAATGTGTTAAATCTTGTCCAACTATTAAAACATGAACTGCCTCATTAATACTGGAATTCATAGAAGTCAAAGCAATCAATACTGTACTTTGTGTATTCAAACAATGAACAGCTACAATGTACAGAATCTATATCCTGATTAGACACCCCTTGTAAAAAAAAAGTGACATTTTTCTTCCTATCCGAACAATGTCCAAACTTGCCAGCTCGTGTACATGCTCCTGTCTTACCTCAGTATAATGTTCAACGCTGGAACACCACAAAAGACGTAAAATACTATAACAGCAGTAAGGACCACAATGAACAGCCAGAGGTGACTGCAAGTTGTGTGGCACAGACCAGGTGTTGCCATCCCAGCAATAGAGCCATTAGAGTTTGTACATGCACAGTCAACGTAGCTGTTAGTCTGAATGAAAGAAAGTAACCACTGAGGAATCAGATTTCATAGCGATGTAGAAAGCGCAAGCGAGCCTTTCGGAGAGGATATCCCAGTTTCTGTTTTTGATACAAGAGCAATCAGAGCTTGGTGTTTCGAACCAGGATTAAGGATTCTGTTTCTCCACTTTAAGGACTGAAAAGAGTTTGAATCGGAATTAAGCCTTCTAATGTTTCTCCCCTACAATGACGGAGCAAGAATTGAACCATGATTAAACTTTCTGTTTTTCCCACGGTAAGGATTCAACAGGAATTGAACTGGGATCAGTTTTCTCCTCTATGACAATTGGAAAGGGATCAAATCAGCATTAAGCCTTCTGTTTATCCCACTGTAAGGACTGAACAGGCATTGAACCAGGATTAAGTCTTTTTTTCACTTCAGGAACTGCATTGGGATTAGTTTTCTTCACTGCAATGATTGAACAGGGATTGAACCAGGAACCCTTCTGTTTTCTCTTGGAATGCAGAATGTTGTGTACTGGAAGATCTAAAGGATAAGGTATTGCTCTTTAGAAACTGTACCACTTCAATCGCATTTTGGTACCCATATTTTTCTTCAAAGATGTATTTTATACCAGGGAGATGTTTATTTTAATAACGGGTTTTGCCCTTACACCAACATATATGCATAATACTCAGTGTTCTATTTTGCTTACATACATAAAAGTTGTGGGTATTTTATTTATTAAAAATAAAAGGCATGGGAAAGATTTCACTCAGTGAGGCCAAATGTTGCAGTTGAACTCCAGTGTGTAAGGATTCAACAGGAATTGAACTGGGATCAGTTTTCTCCTCTACGACAATTGGAAAGGGATCAAATCAGCATTAAGCCTTCTGTTGAACTCCAGTGTGTGTGTTGGGGAAATTCGTATCAGCTCATCTTTTCTGTGAGAAAAATTTATCAAGGAAACTGGGAAGAGAATATTTAAAAGTTCTGATGTTAGTTCCTCAATATAGGTTTGCCTCGGATTTGAGGACATTCAGCACAGAAATTTGTCTCTCTGCATGCATTCCCCTTTCCCTAAGTGAATACTTTCTGGCCAAGACATAAGAAGTTACCTGGTCATTGTAGCTCCTGCAGCCTGCATGGCAAGCGCTGAAGTATATCATCTCGTTATTGCCACATACTGGCACATAGAACTCGGTGGAGCAGTCACATGCTGCGTTGCAGGCACTGTCAAGCGACACACCTGATAATGACCTGAGACAGGAGAGTTCAGTGAAGAAGAGGTCTGCATTGGGTTTGTGCGGATTTACCAAAACAATCTGTTGAGAGCTCTGAGTGCCTTCCATCCATAATGTAGCAGTGTGCGCCATTGTATGTGTGCCCTCCCATGGTTAGTAACAACACTTAATACGAGTTTGTGCAGAATGAGTGATACCCGTTTCCTTGGTAATCCTTGAAGACACCGGCGAGTGGTATCTCATCACATCTCAGAAGCAACCCAAGCATGAGGGCGCCGTCCACGGCTGTGACTATGGCACAGAGCTTCAGCAGTGCCGGTATCTTCATGTTGTAGCGCTTGATTACCCAGCCACTGAACAGGACTGTGCCACCTCCGCCAATTGTGACAATTACACCTGGAAAGAATCAGACATTTTGAGGCATCCAGGATGGAAATCCTTGTGTGTATTTTTACACATAAAATAAACCCTTGGAAGGTTCCCTTCTACTCTGTTATAAAGAGAGACATTAACTCACAATTATGTAAGGACATGACTGAAATGTACAAATGAGCCATCACATGCTGGCTTGGTTCCAAATGCCCAGTATATTTGTAATGTGTATCCGATTCGTAAGTGTGACATCACTTCAGTTTAAACCACGCCCATTGCACATGCACTGCACATAGAGTTACATGCATTGATCGCTGCTTACATGGAACCATGGAACCAGAAGTTAACACGCAACTTCAGCGATCGTCCAATTGGATCCTGCAAATCGTGGCGCGTCTGCCTTTGTGACAAAGTCACTTAGGAACCGGATTGTGTACGATACAGGCGATTCACAATAGTGCACCTCCAAGAGTTTGCAACGTGTTGGCCAGCACAATTCACAAATTCTGTCAACCCATTCCAAATGCGCATTGGGTCAACAGATTTTGTGCTTCAAGATTGGCCAACGCTTTGCAAACTCATGGAGGTGCGCTATTGTGAAACATCCGTATTGTGACAAAGTTTCATCCATCAGTGACACCATCGCAACAATTTGAAATGTGGTGTTAGAAAAGACATCACTGTGGACTCAAACTCAAAATAGATATTCTTGGTTTTTATTGGTATCCCCTGCATCACCTGTATTTGGCATTGTAGTACCTGTCTATAATTGGGCCTCCATTTCTGCAACTGCAAGGTATCCTGCTTCACTGCAGTAACACCATATTATCCAGGGGAAGTTTATTAGTACATGTAATGTCACTTAACGTGTTATATATTAAGAATACAGATTGCCTCCTGTAAAAAAAAAGAGTTTGTTTTGTACTGCTGTGCTGCCTGACCAATAGACTTGAGAGATTAGAAAAGGTTGAACAGGCGTGCGGAGGATAATTTAATACAAAGGGAATCCATGTCCTCCACCCAACATAAAAACTTGCCAACTATAAGGCTGGCATCCCCAGAGCTGACTCCAAACTGGCTCTCCAGGAATTTAGGCAGGAAGGCCTGGGAGCCGGAGAGGAAAATCACGTCTGCTGTCAGGGCTAGATTGAGCAGCATGTAGGTGGGGTTTCGGCAGAGGAGCTTGGTGGCCGTGGGCATATCTCGCCAAGTCAGGCCGAAGTCTGCCCTGCTGACTATTTCCACCCCGGATTTTGTGTGTGCCTGAGATGAGCGCTTGCTTCGGTGTTTCTGGGTTTCTGCAGAGTAGCAGGCAAAGGAGAAAAATTGAATTTGGTGGGTTCATCATCCAGTAAGGATGCCATGTGGCCAAACCTAACACCAATAATGTCAGTGTTGAACATGGGCATTGTTAGGGATGATGAAAACACCCATTTGCTGAAATAAAAATCAAAATTGATCCCCATTCACTGTTAATGGTTTATCAGTTCATCACTGATGAGTGCTCCCCCCCCCAAAAAAAAAACCCTGGGGGGAAAATGCAGACAAATTCATGGTGTTGCGGTTAGCGTTATTCAGCTCCCTCTTTAAGTCAATTTTCCGGATAGAATTTTTTTCACTTGGAAATTGAAGTGTAAAACATATGTCTTGCACAATTTTGCCTTTAACGTTTTGTCATTGTGGAAGAGACGAAAGTGGGAAGCATAAGCAACTAGTTTTAATTTCGAATTTTCTAACTAAAAGAAACAACAATTACCTGGGAGCTCGACTGGGAAGCAACTAATTGGCACTGTAAGAATGAGAGCGAACATGGAACAAAGAAGAAATCCCACCCACCAAGCCCCTATCCATTCTCTGCTGGACGAATCGATTCCTAAACTGGGAGAAAAGCAAACCAGAAAAAAAGTTTTTCAAGTTGAACGAGTAGTCCAGAGATTAAAGTAGAACAGCATCCAACAGATAGAAAGCTCCAATTCCCCTCAGATTTTTCTGGGTCCCGGAACAAAACGCCTTTAATGCAAATCCCCCTCCCGATTTTCAGATTCTCTGTCACATTTTTAGTTAGACGGAGTCGTCTGCGCCGTCGTCTGCAGTAGCCACGGCAAGAATGAGTCACAGTCAGCATGACTAACGATTTGTATTTGTCTTCGCTGTAACAGTGGCTGTCACGTTGATGAAATGTTTCCAAAAGGAAATCCTATACTGATCCGTAAGTCTTAGTATTGTCAGCTGAAAATTTAAACGTGCTTGCCTGATGATTACGAGAAAATGTTTTTTGATGTTTGTCGAAATTGGAAAAATACTGGCAGTTTGCTGTGAAAAAGTGGAAATTTATTAGGTAACTTACCTCGATGTGTCTGTCTCAAAGAAATCTGTGAATAATTTGTCAAGTATGATACCAGCTGCCGTGAAACCGATTGCTGGTCCCAGTGCCCAGCAGAACGAAAAGATACCTGTCATCGGGAAAAGGAGTTGGTGGCGTTTATGAATAATGGCCACTGTAGTTTCCTTTATTACTCACTTTGAGTCCATTTGCTGTAGTCATTAAATCTCCAATTTTCGAAAACACGGGTGAGCATAACGTTCTGAATCCCCTTTGTAAAGAATAATTTATATGTACATTACACATGGAAAAACTGACGTGAGAAAGAATGTGAATTATAAATCACCAAAACTAAATCATTCGTTCAAAAAGAGAATTCTGTATTTGGATAGCCCAGATCTGAAGGAGGCGAAATCTGCTCTCGGCTGTGAAAAGGTCAAAAGGGCCTCTTTTAGGCTTAATTTGTAAATTGAAACTTTAATAGTTTTATTTTCTTCCGGTGTATTTTCTTTCATGTTTGCATATTTTTTATGGATATTAACTAAACGGAAAAAATCTAAGGTCTCATTTGTTTGATGGGTTATTGGTTTCCACTGGGAATTTTTAAAGCACGAAGAAACGTCCGTGAAATTGTAATAAATTTCTCACCGAGGTAAAGACCAACTGATTCCATCTTGACACTCTCATCAATAAAAGCTGGTCCAAGACAGTACAGAGGGGCACATGCTGTTCCGAAGAACAGGTTGGCAAGGATGAAGACATACCAATATCGCGACAAGCTGGAGATTTTGGACTCGTCCTCCGGAAGGCACTGCCCCGAGGCATGCACTTGGCGCTGAGCCATCTCGCCGTTGCTGGTCCTCAATGAGCAAACGTCGCTCTTATTGCTGATTGTAAACTCGTAGAGGTCGGTAGTGAAATGCGGCAAGGCGAACACGAAAGAGCCGATGGTCAGGCTGACCAGACCGGCAGCTAGCCACCTGGGCCGGTTGCCCCGCGCTCCGCAGTAGCCCACCGGAGCGAGCAAGAGCGCAGCGACGACGTCGTAGAACGACGGCAGGAGCCCCAGCTTGGAGGATGATAGCTCGAAGCGTCTCTCCAAACTGCTCATGGAGGAGTTGATGAGACCGTTGACAGCCACACCTTGGACCATGGCAGCGCAACAAATGCAGGCTAGCAACCAAGGAGGTGTGTTGCATCGCTGGAAGCAGGCAGGTTTCCATGATTTCCAACCGCAACGCAGATTCTTCGCTTCCCCCGGTGGATAAGAACTCGAACATGTTTTCTCCAGCTCTGGTGAATGAGGCTCTTCGACGACCTCTCCACGTACACCGCTAGTGCTGTGAACTGACGCCTCAGCCATCGGTATCACGGACTGTTGCTCACCCTGGCCTCTCAAAATCTGACTTCATTTTCAGGAATTTGGTGAAATTTGTATCTTACCTGGGCAAAAGGTAGAAAGACAACGTAGAGGAGCTTTTGGGTTGAAGAAACTTTCAGACGGTTTGGGAAGTGACTCATGATAATGTCTGCTGAAGAGCCATGGCATCTGGCCAGGCGTTCTTTGTTCGCAGTTCTCTGGTATTATTTTAGTGCTGTGTAAGAGGAAATTATAATGAGAAAAGTTTGAGCATTACGACATTTTCAAATGGGCGTCAGACTGCAGGCATTTTTTTTAAACTTCGAAAGTCCGCAAGATGGAGACGGCCTGTTACTGGATACGAGTCATAGTCACATGTATGTTATGTTCGTGTGACCTGCTGCTTCGATTAAGATCTACCGAGCGGAGTTCTTAACACCGTGAAATGATGACAAAACGAAGGAAGCTGCTAATGCTATCGCAAAATGGATTTTAAAAAAGTTTGACAAAATGGTCAAAAAATGTGGCACCACTTCGTTGCGCTTCCGGGTTTTGAGTCCGGTTTTTTTTCTAAAAATGATAGCCCTTTTTCTTTATTTGCGAAAGAATCAACTTAAAAGAAAGCTGGTAATGTTGGCGCTTTAAATTCCTTAAAATTCAATGAGGTTTGGAGTAATGTTTGATTTAAAATACTTCACTTTATATGTGAGCGTTATTTTATGTGAGCGTCGCTGGAGGAGTGCATTGTGAGATCGTTGTGTACTCCCCATTTCGCCAATTTCATCATTTCTAATTTTGGCAAAATTGCGGATCGGTCGGCTAAAGGAACTAGGTTATCATGAAAATAGCCACCAACTGTCAGCTGCCCCATTTAATGGACTTTTAACAGCACACCTCTTCCTCTTTACGGTAAATGTTCTCGGGTACTAACTGTAGACATCTATCCTGCTTTGCCTTCGAGGTCGGATGCCCGCCGGGCCCGTCACTAAGGGCGGGGGGAGGGGGCTGCTCCCCCCGGCGGGAAGCTGCCCCCACCAATAAGAAGCAGAAGCACGAAAAATATACTTTGTTCATGTGATGTGGCCCCTAGCTGATACTGTGACCCCCCCTTAATGCCTGAAGCTGGTAACGGGGCTGATGACTGGAGTTCCACAATGACGGGTAGCATTGTGTACAGTCGGCGATAATTGCTTGTGACATGTTATGCTTCTTCCAAGATAACTTCAAACATTAAATGGGCATAAACGTATTCCTGGACGTTAATTATTGTAAAAAGAGCGACCCCTTCCATGGGCCTTCTCATCTGGAGTTTTAAAAAACACAATGGCGTACAAAAACTGTCAAGAATGGGCCTCCGAATTAAAAACGCGTATGGTTGTCACATTATAAGGGCTGTCACCAGAGGAGACTTGGGATCCATTGCTGCTTGATGTTTAGTTTGAAATGTTAAAAAGAACAGTCAAATGAAGTTTTTTTTAGATCACTTTTTTCCCATGTTTAAACTTTTCTTCAGTGTAATTAAACTGTTTGAAATCTTTCTGGAGTTAAGTGAACTGTTGAGTGCACGTTTTTAAACATTCAAAATGGAGTAAGCTTGTCGGAACAAATGAAGGCGCTGTTTGTGTTATAAACCCAGGAAGATACTGTTCATCAGTTTGCGTGTTCCTATGTTCAAAGTTTGAACCCCAAATTTGAATTTTTGCAAACATTCCTGACAAATGTTACTAGCTGGCTGATTTCCATGTGCTTATACAATAATAAAGTGCTGACAGAAATGGAAATCTTCGATGGCGAAGTGTAAAGAATCGAGCATGATGTATGCAAAAATGCAACACTGAGGTTCAGTGCCTCGGATTCTATTAGTTTTGCTCACGATTATGCAAAGTCACATTAGTACAAAACCAAAAACGCCCAAAAATACATGCAAAAAATAGCGAAACAGAAATTGAAAATAAGGTTAATGGAAACACAAAGAATCAAAATCAAGGATTTTCTTAGCGTATTTCTATTACATGGTCCCTTTAAAATGACGAAGGCTACTCACCATAATTGCGCCACTGCACGAAACATGCCAAGACGCCACTTGACATCGATCACGCATGCGTCTGAAGTGTTTTTTTTTTCCAGAACTAAAATGTTAAATTAGGCTTAATACTACCTTTGAGTTCAATATACAGACATCGTAGTTTTACTAACCGGCAGCAAGGTGAACAGCTCCTTTCGAGTCCATGTCTCGCGAATAACTGAACAACACACATGCATGATCTCAGCTGATTTATGTGCAGTTGGGACGCAATCTTAATGTATTGAGGTTTTCACCTTTTTTCTCCCAAAACCTTGACTCAAAATGGGCGGAGTTATAAACAAGTAGCTGATGAATCATAGCACCTCATCAATTGCCAGCTAGGCAGATCGGATGATGAAGAACTTCATGATATCCCACACAAACCAAGGACTTGGACATCGGTGAGTGCAGCCATTATTATGCGAGTCGGCCTGCAACACCGAATCTTCTTCCAACGCCCTGAAACCACATCTGGTGTGAATTTCAAGAAAGATGCTTTACATAAAGCCCTTTGCTTCCAGCACAATAAATAAGAAACGTAGTCTCACGAATGTGTAGGCCTAACTAATGGCTGTTCTTTGAAAGTATAAGGAGTCGTGTGTATGATTCTTGTTTGAGGGTGATGGGCATTATTCCATGCTTCATTTTCAAATTTGGTGTTGCTGAAACTTGCAGAAATTCTCGTTTTGCCCATTAAGGGTCCGTCCATTAAAGTAAGGCCTACGCACGAACTTTTCAGACCCCCTCCCCCTGTTTGCGTGCATGTGAAATACAAGACGTGTTACAAAATTATCAGAGGCAAATTTTTGGTTTGCGTACGATACGCGATACGCAATGGCTTGACCCCCCCCCCTTCCCCTCTTGACGCATGGTGTATGCAACGGCACCCCCAATTCATGCGTACTATGGACGGCCCCTATGGAATTTCTGTGTTGTCGGTGTTCTCGTGTTATCAAACAACAGTGATAAAAGAATTCTGAAAGTGTTGGTTGCAAAGAGTCCAATCCAGAAAAAAAAGCCGAGTAATTTTTTCGTGCGTGGGTATTTAAAAAACATTCATGATTGTACTTTTTGTTTAATGCATTATCTTGGATTGCCTTGACATAACACTGTCATCACCCTTTCTTCATAAATCGTTACTGTCCTCAGTTTAGGGACCATCTAATAACCATTTTGTATCCTAAATGTTGACTGCTGAAATAACCAGTATAATGTTCTACTCGTACAAATGGTTATTAGGCCTATAAGTAACAAAGTTTCAGGCTTAGTGCGCCAACGCTAATGTTGTCTTCTCCTAAAATTGTGTCATAGTTTGTCCTTTACTTCACCGAGTAAAACAAAAAATAGAGGAAACCTTTTTTTTTTTTTTAAGTGTCTTTATTTGGGTAAGAAAAGCTGTCGGGTAAGGAGAAAATCCCCTCAGTTACAGAAACAACGTAAACTTCGAATTCCCCGGTCTGTTACCACTAGCCAACATTATATGTTATATTAATAATTTCCAATTTGCCATCATCATCTTGCTGTGGGTGCCTTTAATGTTCCCTCCACCCAGGGTAATTGATCAAGGCGGTGTTTTTTCCTCCCTCCCTGGCCAGGTCTTTATCTGACACCCCCCTTCGCTTTCAGCATTCGTGCTCTGTTCATGTCGTTTTGTAAGTCATCAAGGCTGTTTTTTCCCCACCCCTTCTTTAGTAACCTTTTGCCTTCCCTTGCTCAGTATGCCTTTCCCCCTTTCTACTGTCTTGATTTACACACACACACACAAGGAGACGAAAACGTCCGACGCCTGTCCACTTAACTATCAGAAGACCTATTACCTGCTGTTTTAGTTGATTATCGACAGTATACATGTAACAGTGTAACATCACTATTATGCAAACTACATGTAGTTCCTATAACTGCATGTGCATTTATTTTGCAAGTAGCCAAGCAGCTCATCCCAACCTACAGCGATTGTTCACATCCTTCGCCTTTTCAGTAGAAGGAAATAAATTTTGTTGGAACATTCACGTTTTCCAAGGTTTCTTATTTTTGTGGCAGCGTTAGGACCACTGATCGAGATCCAGATCCCTTTCACTTTTTACGTTGCAGATGGCAGAGCGGCGCCCTCTGGCAACGGAGGGGCACAAGCAGGAAATCCTTTTTGTGGATGAGGAATCAAGTGAATTTATCGCCTTGCAAGTGCAAGGCTTTTTCAAACTCTAAGCTGGTGCCTAGGATGAGAGGGTGAGGGGACCCCCCCCCCGTGGAGTGTACGCACAATGTCCGAGTTCGCAACGGAGAAGAAAGGGAAGGAAGCCAGTCTAGCCTTACAGTCGTGCCCTGAAGCTTGTCGCCTAGCGCCGCCCGGCTGGTTTCCACAACTCGCTATTTGGTCCGCCGCTACAACATGACAACGTGTACAATTCTAGACATTGCAAGACTATTAAAGTCACGGATATAACTTCATTCAAATATGGTTGACGAAGAGGGAAATGTGGACATTTCGTTCAGGAATCGAGTGTTAGAGAATCTGTCAGTATTTAAGTCCAAACTGACAGAAATTGAAGCGAACGGAAGGACCTCCAGCACCGAAGTTTGGCATGAACCCCGGCTGGACAAACGAAAGGTAGATTGACCTTGCCAGGCCAGTGACGGTAAAGTCTGAGTGTCAGTTGTGCCTGTCCCAACTAGCGTGCTATAGTTGGGCCGGCCCAACTACAGCACAGAGGTCCATTGTGCTTGTGCCCAGCATGTTCGTGTACAATGTCATGTCACAGATGAATTTGCCATATTTCAGATGAACTGTGTCAAGTGTGCGATTCGTAAACCTGGATAAGGTTGAGAATATTGACGTTGCTGAATTGTATGTGACGTAATAGGTTCGTCAGCTGTGCAACACGAAGTAGTATTGTTGATGGCTCGCGCTGTGCAGCTGAAAAAGTTGAGTCGAAATTTACACAAAATCCAATTTGTAAAAAATTCATTGGAATTCTTATTTATGAACCAAGTGATCTAAATTGAAGAATTTTTCATTAGAAAATAAGCTTTTTGCAATGGTTCTGGCTGAAAATAGATTTGCCGCTCGCGTGGTTACTTTCCGGAAACTCGTATGGCGATCAATTTGTACATTGACCAACTTGTAATTTGTTGAAATACTCTGAATTATTTTTTTTCTTCCAGATATATGCACGTATCCGGTGTAATGTCATCTCTGTTGGGGAAATTGACACCGTCAAACAGCAGTTTGATGCAGAGATCTTTCTAGGAGTAAAGTACAAAGAACCAGAGTTGAAGGGACTCACTAGAGAGGTGAGGGGACCAATAGTGTTCTTGAACTGTGTATTTAAACATTTACATGAATATTTGGGTCTGGTAGGACAGCTGGGCAAAGTTTGACATCCAAATAGTTTCAAAAATTTCACGGTTTCAAGGTGATTGTGACAAGTAAAATGGGCGCACACAAGTAAGTGTCAAGGCCCAGAAAGAAATCCACACTTGGACCTCGCATGACACCCTGTGCACAAACCCTACGAGACTCGTCTGAAAAATTCTAGGTATTTTCTAATTTATAAACATTTCAATATTTTTCCTGCTAAATTTGACATTGTAGGACATGCAGTTGCTTTCTGATGGCTGTTTTACCACTGCTTGGAATATAAGTGATGTCCATACATGTACATTTGTATGGAACTCTTACCCAAGACCCTGTCATGTGATGTAGGAAATGAGTACAAAACGATGCTGCTGTGTGATTTGTCCCAAAAGTGTGATTGAATACATCAGTGGACTTTCACTCTCCTGTCATCTTTCAACATTTAAAATAAATTTTTAATGCTATATCGCCTTCAGCAATGATGACAAATGCCACTGAATTGGGCCACATTTTCTCACAGAAGCCACACACATTGTCACCAGAAGATGTAAGAAAAAATGGGTTCTGTACATGAGCTTCCTCCTTGGGGACTGAGAGAGTGAGAGACTAGACAAGCAATGGGGTGCCATTCTTGGGCTTGGCTCTTGATTGTGACCCAGTCTATTCAAAGACCCAGTGTTTGCATANCCCCCCCAAGATGTCTGAAAGGAATTCCCCAGATTCCTGCGAGACAATGACCAAAACAAAGCAGAGGGGGTTCTCTCCGTCTCATACCTTGCTGCATACATGTATGTGTTTGCAGGAAAAGAGGATTTCTTAATTTATGTATGCCTGTACTGTGTTGTGGCTAAGAAAAGCTTTTGTAACTTTACAAAGAGCTCACAAAGAACTCCCAAATATGCACTGGGCCAGAGAGACTCTCTGGTGGCTCCATGCATTGTGTTTCCCTTTCTTTTTGCCCTGTGCCACAATTTTTTTTGAGGGGGTGTCTTGTCTTTACTTCACCATCTGAAGGTTGTTGGATTAGGTTCTGGGGATTTCTTCCACTCATCAGTGGTCCATTGGGGTCATATGAAGTGAGGTACGAGAGAGAACCCCCCCCTGCTTTGTGTTGGTCATTGTTTCACTGGAGTCTGAGGAATTCTTTTCAGACATCTAAGGGGATGTGTTAGGTAACAATAGTCTAGAGTGTGTGTAGTGATTGGGCATGTTGGGGGATACCCCGCGGTCTCATTTCTTGCTGGATCATATAACTGGGGTTCAGTTTAAGTCCTGAGATAAAAACAGGTGCAGGAACATGCAAGAAGATATTTGCATACTTGATGATGGCTGAGGTTGTACTGTGATCTTGGCTTGTTTTTCAGCTTTTAGTGCATTGAATAGCAAACTCCTTAGCATGCATTGTGCAAGGGATTAGAGTTTAAATCAATAATCGTTACTCATTGTTGGAGGAATTAATTGGATATTGATTTACACTCCATGGTAACAGTGGGATAAGGATGGAGAGCCAAAGTGCTTATGTGTGTGGATGTTTCAGCCAAATATATGTTGTCACTTTAGAACCAGGGCCATGGCAAGTGACTCCACACATCGGTAGTGTTGTATTTAAGCCCATCACAAAACCCTGTAAGTCCAGCAAAAGTCATTCAGTCTTAGGCCAATTCACAAGCTATTCAAATGAAAGGGACTTGTGGAAGGACTTGTGATGGACTTGAATACTGTACAACACTGCATATTGGTCACGTATCATCATGTACCTGTGTTATTCCTTCCCTTAACACAATGGATCTACCCACCACCTGCTCTTCTGGCCCATTGAATGTAGGAGATACATCATTGTAAATTCCAAGGTAATCAATTGGCCAAGGCAGTATGCAAAACCTTAATACTACCTTAAAAGATTGCACCCAACAGTTTCCAGAAGCTGTTAATGTCGATAACTGAAAGTTCTCAGAAAAACGCTGAGATTTGCTGCTCAGCATTCATATCATGAGTCCTCAGATTACAGCAGCACATGTACAGTGCATGTACACCACTTAACAATGTGTGAACTTAAGTTATCCTGTCCGGCATTCTCTAATGACTTACCCACCTATTCCCCGTGGCAACCTGTATGGCAGGATGTGGACTGGGAAAAGATGTGGTCCCCCAGGATTGTCTTTGCTAATGCCGAAGCCATTCACTCACTGGAGTGTAAGCACCGGATCCTGGATCATTCGGACGAGGTGGAAGGGGTGCCTGACGCCTATGTGACATACCGAATGAAAGCAACGTTTAAGACCTTGATGGACCTGGTCGACTTCCCTGTGGATTTCCAGGTAAGAAATATCCCCCCTACAGATGGCAGTTTACTCGTTGCAAGTTTCACACACAACCAACCCCTGTGGCAGCTAAACTGTATGGGCAAAACCTGTAATTAAAATTGTCTCTTTTTAATCAGGCTACTTCTCTGCCATTTTCTGTAAAAGTATAAATTTACCACCCTTTCAGGGTTACAATTGTGGAACTTTTACACAGTGGCCAATTAAATTGGCAAAATGAACGTGTCTTTACAGCCACCTTCATTTTGTGTTTTTTCTTGCCACTCAGTAGGTAATTGTGATGTTTGACAATTCCTCTTTTCCAATTTCTTTTTCTTAAACTCTAAAGTGATCAGTACAGTCTAAATTCTGTCAGCAGAAAGCTTTAATTATGGGCAGTGACAGTTTTTGGAACTTAAAAGTGGACATTCCTCAACTTCAGGGATATGAAGTGGACTACTTCAATTTGGTTTTGGAATGGTTGGTCACACTTATCGTTCTCGTCCTTTTCTTAGAGGTTAACAATCAAGCTAATGTCTGACTGGCCGGAGGTAGACGTTGAATTTGTCAAAGACATGGACATCAAAGACTCCATTCGTATGGATGTGTTTTCAGGTAAAGCTTCTTTCTTTGCAAAACCAGAATTTCAAAGGCAATCCGCCCTGAGTTGAAGTGCACCGTCACCGGCGAAAGAAAGACAGGCTGGTAAGACGTTTTCCAACAGGGTTCCTGTGCACGTTCAGTGCACACGTAGAGACCATATATTCCAACATAAATTCATTGCATGTTCTCAGCGTGCCCTGCACCAAACATGCATAAACTTGCACACCTACACGGTGAGTTTCTACCAAAAGAACGTCATCTTCACATAAAAACACACTCGGAGCCACTCAGAGCTGATTAAAGAGCGGAATCTAAAAGTTGCAAATTTGTATGGAGAAATGTAATTTTGACCTCATGTGACCACCTGTTTCAGTAAAAAGTACGTGTAGTATGAAGGTTGGATGAATTGACTGGAGTAGGATTTGAATGTTAAACCACCTAAATCCCGTAAACGGTTGTGGGAGCAAGCCTGATCCAGTCAATTTCTTTTTCTTTAGCAAAAATTATTTGGATTGAAAATGAAGCGAATGAATTTCTTTTTTGTTTCTCCTAAAAAATAAGTGATGCCCTTTGTAACTTCTCTTACCCGCATTGGCTGAAGTGGATGCATGTTAGTCTCAGGTGTTACCATTGAGAACAGTCGCATCCTTTGAACGGGTTCATAAAATGTCATTTTTTTTCTTCAACAGGCTGCCATGAGTGGGAACTGTGCCCTGTTGTAGCAGCCACCCCAATTAGAGGAACCAAGCTTCACACAGGATCTCATCGGGTATACCCCAAATACCACCTGACCATGTACGCCAAGAGGAAAGCTCTCTACTACTTCTGGAATCTAGCTTTAGTGCTGGTAAGACTTGTTTTGCAGTGTTGCTCCATGAAAGAGAAGTGTTTTGCATTTTTTCAACCCACTCCTTCCTTTTCTGAAAAAAACCAACTGCCAGTCCTTCATGTTAAGCTGTTGTTTACTGCATTATGTTCACACATTACATAGCTTTGTTTCCCTGTACCCTCAAACATTAAGTACTGGTACCTTACCATCAAGTGATGTACCTGTACATGAACAAAGTTTATTGTGCAAATTCCTACAAATAATTGTGTACAAATTTCAACATGACTGAAACGGTACAAGTACTAATTATATTTATGTCATTTCAAGCCATGTTTCTTGTACCAAAATGAGATCTTTCAGAGCCAATCCTCTAAAGTTAGTTCTAACTTTTCACTAAGCTTCAGATGTTCTAACTCTGTTTATACCCTCAATGTTTATTTCTGGTGTCTTTGGGGGGGGTCAGATGCTAATTGTGTGCCTGTCCTTCGCATCATTTGCCGTGAGTGCTGACCAACCAGAAGACAGGCTGAGTGTGACCTTAACCCTGCTTCTCACTGCCGTAGCCTTCAAGTATGTTGCAGCCCAAGCCCTGCCACCGATCTCATACCTCACACTCCTGGTGAGTCTAGCCAATTTGATTTCTGGCGTATGCCACAACGTCTCTAGTGCCTTTCCAGTCCCCTCCAAGCTGACATTTTCAACATTTTGGTCATTCATATTTGTACTTGAAGGGTTTGTGCGCTGAATTTGTTATGCATGTCTTTATTCTCTTCTTCATTTTGTGGAATTGTTTGACATCCATTTAAACATTACAAATTTTCCCAGCTTTCTGAACAAGTGAGGGCACTTTCAATGTGATGTATCAAGGAAAACACTCTTCCAGTTTTATTTCCTTTGATGCTCAGATTTTGAATCTTACATTTGCTTGTTGAAAACCTAAGATCTTTGTAATATTGCCACACACTTACACACAATAATAAATAAACAAAGAAGCCAAAATTTACTATATAGCAAAATATGAACATCTCCAACAGTTTTTGTGAACAAGCCAATGAACAATGGAGGTTCTGTGCCTGAGACGTCATCAGTTTTGTCACGAATACAGAAATCGGAACAAGTGAACTTGTAAACAGGGCCCAATTTCACGGAGCTGTTTAACAGTTAGCAAAATGGTTATGCTAACTTTAGCAGACAAATTTGCTAACCTTAGCTCTATTTCATGATGGTGCTAGGCGTGGTTGTGGTAATGGTTGTCTGTATAGAGATTCCTATTATGTCACTAAGTTTAAGCAAATTTGTCCTCAAAGGTTAGCATGCCTTTGGCTTTGCTAACTGCTTGTGGTCGCCATGAAATACATGGAGCATTTGTTAGTGTGAAATTGTGTGCTAAGCAATGCTGTGACATTGGGCTCAGATTCCAACCTATCCATAATAGGAAAACAAAAATTGGAAATAATGAAACACAAAGGTTCATGTACGTTTCTGTTCTGTGGCTGTAAAATAATTGAATTTTGCATGGACCCTTTCATTCATGGTGGAATATGAACATGCGCTGTATGGAGAAGTTATCCAAATATCAGCACTAGAGGGAATTTAAATAGGAAGACCAATCTGCATGGTTACATAAAATAGTCTCAGGTACTGCATGCTGAGGTGAAGTCAAGAGTCATTCCACTGACAGCCATTTTCACTAATGTGCAACTTGATTCTTGGCAAATTCAAATTTGAGTATGTCCCAGCAACTTTAGCATCTGAATTCACTCTGTGCAATGCAGCTTTGCATTTTCTGTTAATACCATGAATCAACAAGTCATTTCTACCTGTTCTCTCTGTCTGTTGCAGGATAAGTATGTGATATTCTGTTTAGTATTCCAATGTACCGCAGTGTGCCAAAATGCAGTGGCGTCGGCCTTTGCTACTCCAGACAGCAGAGCTTTATTTGATGCCATCTCAGCCTACTGTATGGTTGGTCTTTTGGTCATTGTCCATGTTGGTGCTGTAATCTACATGTGCATTGTCGTAAGCATCCTTATTTCTTTTTCATTACTGTGGTAGCTTTGAGAGAAATCCGTGGGATGGAAAAATATCTTCAGTTTTATTACTTCCAAGCAGTTTGTTGCAGGAATAGTCTGGAGTTATGTCCTCTTAAAAAGTATTCCTTTAATCCTTCCCTGGGTGACTACAGAAATGGTTCTTGAACTCTTGTTTTTGAATGTGGTATTGCATGTATTTGATCTTATCGCAGATTTTATTTTTGTTCTTAATTTGTCAACAGAAGAGGAGATCAGACCATATTATACAAACAGCAGTCAAGGAATATGAGGTGGGTTGAGAAACAATCTCTGTCTTTAGTTCTTTGGCTTGACACAACCCTCTTGCATCAGTACCTTTGTTCATTTGTACTGACAGGAGATAGAGGCTGAGTGAAATTGGCATTCTCCAACCTGTAAATGTTGCCTGGCTGCCCATTAAGTTTTGCTCCCCCTTAACGTTAAAAACGTATCCACCAAGCTTCAAAGTCTGGCTCTGTTACGCAGTGTCATCTTGATAAAAAAAAAATTTGTCACCAGATCTGTCACATTGCTTAGAATTTTTACAGAAACAAATCTACCTTTTAAGGTGCTTAGAACTGTGCTAGACCTGAACTCAAAAGTTAGGGAGGTGATCCATAAATGTTCCGCGAATGTTACGTTGTTAAGTATTGCCTCCCTCCTTGCATTTCTGTATTATTCTCAGTTCCCACCAGATTTAGAAGTTTGAATTTCAAGAACACTGGAAGTTTCACCTGATTTTTAGAACACCTTTACAAAATGTCCTAGAAATGAAATGTTAGCAGTTGGTCATTTTTCTGTTCAGTTTGGAGCTGAACTGATGGATTTACCTCTTAAATATCCAGTGTTCCTTCTATGAAATTGTTCAGATGTTCCTTCTGTAAAAGCTCACTTGCAGGTGGTGTTTGAAGAGCAACCTGACTGGTAGCGAAAAAAATAGGGATTATGTGGAATAGACGTCTGTAATGGGATCCAAGTAAACATACAACGGTCAGATTTCTTATTTTCGTCCACCGTGGGGGTTGCTCTTTAAGTGACACTCTAAGCTGCCTCCCTAATTAATGTTGTGCGACCCATGTTTTCAAGGGGTGTTTACTCCAGTACATGTACTATGCTGCCTCATCAATCTGTCGTTACACCGTAATTGTTCCCCAACTTTTACAAACTGATTGAGTTTGTCATGTACGCTGGCTTCTGACTAATTTTATTTAACTTTTTTGTTGAAAAAGGAGCTGAATGCTAGAATCAACAAGAACCGGGAAGTACGTCTAGCCCAGGCAAAGAAAGGAAATGACAAACAGACGGCAGAGGTGAGGAGCAAGAGAGGAAATAGACTCAAGAAGAACAAGGTCCATTCTACTCAAGAGAACCAGGAGTCAACTGACAAGGAAGACATCGGCTCAAGCTGAGGTGAGAGCCCAAGAATTATGACTATAATGCCAAAAAAGTTCCATTTGCTACGGGTGCAATGTTTTGAATTTTCTTAATATTTATGTAACCAGAGATATTGAAAGTTGGAATTCACTGGGTCCAATATTTATGGTACTGTAGAGCATATGATTGTTTTCATGCTTGTAGAAATATCCTATTGTATGTAAAAATGCCTGAACATTTCTCTACTGCATTAACCATATGTTCAATTTGTTTGGCAAAATATTTTTTAGCTACATGTATTTGCATTAATTGGGAAAGCAAATTGTAATTGTTTTCCAAGTACTTCAAGTGTTGTACTTCAGCATCTCACTTGAATAGCGGAACACCGCAGTTTCAGAATTGTGGTAGTACTGAGGCTCGAAGTCTAGATGAAGGAATCGATGCATTTCTTTCCACTTCTTGCTGAATTGTTGGCAGTTTAACCCTTAACCCCCCAGGCATTTTCACTAGGAACCATCCTGAATCTTCTGAAATCCTCCGATCCTCCACTGTGTCAAAGTTTGGGCCAAAAAACTTCTACGCCATGGCGTATATAATGATGGAATGATAAGGTTGAAGGTGCAGCTGAGATAACGATGGTGATGAAGGCATTAAAGCGAAATGGGTCTCCAGGGGTCAACACTCCTCGTCTTTGTCGTTTGTTAAATTTCCCACCAACTTTACGCTATCAATTAGCACATCTTCCACTTCAGCTTTATTCTATCCAATACAAGCATCATCTACATGTACTTCTTTGACGGCATCATCAATGGCCCGTATCAAGGTTTTAAGACACTCCCACTCTGGAACCATGAGGTTAATCCCTCGTCCGGGAGCCAATGGGATGCCCTTCTGCTTGGTCTGATGATAATCTCTTATCTTTACATATCCCAAAACTTTTTGATAACCACGTATCAATCATCATTCAGTTTCAGTCTCTGAGAAACTGTTAAATCTATAATAGTTTTCTCTGGTGCCTTCAAAAGTATTGTCATTTTCTCTTTTAACAATGCCAGTTTCTTCTATCCTTCCAATTTAATCATGTTTGGTTTGTTCGAGTCTATGGGCACTTGAGCCTTTGGAACCTGTTCCAATTCATTGCGAAATTCTGAGACTGCGTGAAGACTACTGGCCGAATTCCAGCTATAACTCATTCTATATGAAGGTAATATGTTACTTTTGGCGACCTGTTGCTTGTTTTTTTGAGACAAGCCATCTTTCTCATCTACTCCAGACCAGAATGATGTCCCTTCGCCTTTGACACGGCTTTTATCCCATTTTAGAAGGGGGTATTTTGACATGTTGCACATTGCCAAAAAAAAAGATATCATTTCTTAACATAGATCATGACATCAACCCTAAAAATAGATTGATTGATTAATAGAAAAACAAGCTTTTATTATGATAACACTGCTTCATTTACAAGTCTTACTTTCTTATTAATCATAATTCTTTTGTCAGCTTATGGATCACTGAATTACTTTGGACACAGAAATTCCTACACGCTGTAAGTAATGTTACGTTGTTGACACCCTACGATCAACGTATCGACCGTAGCATTTTTCTAATGATGATTTTTCCATTGAATAAGGGCACTAAAGCACTGTGCCTTTGGACTGTATTTGTTCTCCTCTTTAGGTCGATATACATGTAAATTAGTGACTGTAAAACCAAGAGTTTTTAGGAGTTCTTACCGTGGTTCACATACAAGTTCTACTTTTTCGTGATTGTGTTCCTTCACAAGATTTGCCGCGAGTGACAGAGCTGCAACTTCGATACTTGTGCGACCAAATAATGTAATCGCAAAAAACAATGGTTTGCTTCAGTTGGTTCGACTAATCTGATTGCATAGGTTTTCTGGTAGACATTATGATGTTGTTTTCTCACAAAATTGTCTAGTTTATTTCCTCAACTCTAAAAATCTTCACCAAGATCATCCAAAGTGTATATTTGGTAATTTTCCCCTGTTGCCGCTTCCACACACACGCACTTCAATTAGTTCTGATTATCTAAGATCTCCCAGGAGTCAATATTGTCCAAGTAATTGACGCTTTCTCCTGAAGTACCCTTGATTTTCATTCTACACAATACGATCATTACTACCTGCCTAGGCAGCCAACCAACCATTGTCTAGGGATTGTCTCTGATCGACGCTCACTTCTGGCCAGGCCCCAATTGTTATTATTATTTATTATTTATTTGGCATTACTCAAATCAGGGCCAATGTGCACCATAATTTTTACCCAAACGCCTTCTATATTCACACATTTCCACTGGTTGTGTCATCGTTTCCTTAGAAAAAGTCAACTTGTGCCAGACTTTCTGACCCTATGATATTCATATTCCTATTTATCCCTTACAAAAGGTCATCCTGTACCATAATTTGTACCTGACCCATCATTCATATGAATATGATCATATTATTTTGCTTATGCACATTCATGTGACCTTTTCATATTTCTAACCCAAAGGTCAAACTGTACCAGACAGGCCCCCTCAACTACTGGCATCTATTTTTTCTTTTCCTTTTTTCAAGTCAGTATATCGTTGGAAAAACTACTCCTTAAAGACTTCTTTCATTGGGATGGATGAACTCCCTTCAATTTATTTTACCTGATAAGTAAATTGACCATTCTACAGCCAATTTCAGTCTGTAGACTGTCAACAAAGAAAATCAAATCACTTTCTGACATGTCATCTCTATGCTGCTGATAGGTACTGGTATGTTGTCTCACTTTTGGTCCCTTTTCTTGGCAGAAAATTGCTCTTGAGCTCCAAAATTGTTACACTTTTCCTGGTGAAACAGTTAAGCAACTTCCGCTCCCTCCTTTTTATGCATCTTATGTCATCTTCTTTGATGTCTCTATTTTAAAGTGCTTCTTTAACCCTAACTCCCTAGGGTGTGTGCAAAATCATATTGATATTGGAGGATTCAGGACTGTTAGGGTTAATGATGGTGACATTTCATATGAACTAGCTTTGGAAACATCCCCTTCTTAATAGGGATTAAACACAGTGGCATTATCTTGAGAAATTATCATATGTAACCATGGAGGAAGGACACAGAAGGAGTTGTAACTCATGCACTTCAAAGCGTCCAATGATGGTCGCTGCCGAATAACAGAAAACATTCCAAAAATGCCTTATTGCTGCCTGCATCTTAGCTGGACAAGTGGGGCCAGTAATATCCTGGCAATACTTGTAGTTTTTTGCTTGCAATTAAATACAAACTATCGATGTAACCAGGAAATAGAGAGAAAAATTCCTGATATTAGACCTACTTTTGCCAGCATAAATAAACTTTTTAAATTTTGACACACTGTTTCATTATCCATGCAAAGTTTGTAATTCTAGTCTCCTCCATCCAATATACATCAGTGTCAAAGACGAGGTACGAATTTGGCTAAGACTGGCCATCAAAATCTTCACTACTTCTGGAAAGCTCAGCTCATTGGGAACAAAATGCGCTATTTCATCACAGGGAGTGATCGTGAAATCTCATAAAATACGCCTTTGTACAAATGCCATAATAAAAATGATTCAAACAAAACACAAAATCTTACAAACAGCTTGGCTATTTATTCCTAAAAGAAGTCCAGAAGAAAGCGTTCGATAAGGGCAACAACTGCACATGAACACTTCGGGTATACAGCCTAATAAAAGCAACTGCGCAAACACTACATTTGATAATGTTGTCGGTTCATATCAAGCACCAACGATGGCATGAATATTCAACTTCCTATACTGCAGTACACAACATTTTAGGGATGCAGATTACCAAAGAAAAATTGCGGCGACGATCATGGGGTACAAAGGGAGCTTATGGTGCAAAACAGGTGGTGGGTAGCAGGCGTGTGCTGCGCTCTGGTTGTGGACATACCGGGCATGCCAGAAAGCGGTAATCGGCCAGATGTTATAGCCTGGGCAGTTCAAACTCCTTCTGTGTCCTTCCTCCATGATGTAACATATATGTAACTTTAAGAATAGAGATAGAAAACATATATCTGCCAATTTCCATTAATTAGAGAAAGCACCAGGTGCAAATTATGACTTGGGTAAACTTTAAAAAGGAACTCCCCCAAAACTGTAGTTTCTGAGGAGGATTTGTAAGTACATGCACATGCACTATTTTGGCTGTGTGCTTTCATGGAATGAAGAATTTATCAGTCCATGCACTGTTTCCACTTTCCTTTATAACAAAGCTTCAGATAAATATTACATGGTATACATCCTCTTGCAAAGAAATGCATCAATTCAACAACCCATTGTATACAATTCACTTAATTGTTAGACTGGAATTTTGTATTTTATGTAATGTGTTTATGATTTATCGTCCACAATTGGAAGAGACAGTATGGTATTACGAGCAGAGGCTGCATATATTATTTCATGCCAAAACTGACACTTAAATTTAACAAAGATCGCACCTGAACAGGTTTGGAGATGTTTGTAAGCAGGTCTTTCACAGTGCCCTCTGCATTATTTATGACTACTTCTTTTCATTTTGCATTTGTAATACAATGTACTTATCTGTCCACTTTTACATAATGTGATGTGTTGTGCCTTGTAGACAGAGGTTCAGTTGACCAATATATGTATCTCTTATCGATTCAGGATAAATAATAGAGAACTATATTTTGTGAAATTTATATGCACAAGTGTACCAGTTAGACTCAAATTATGGAAAGAACAGTGTGTCGTAACTTATTGAACAACAGGACTTGTTATATTTTCAGTGGTTTGTAATATCAGTGTTTCTCTGTCTAGGAATTTCCTTTGGGATGTACAATAATAAAGGCAGAAAGGAAGGAATAGAAGTTTGCTTGAGTTGCCATCATTTTGTTTTTGCAGAAAGTCTTCTGTTGTCAATTTTCATGTTGAAGACGGTGACGAAAATCTTGAAGAGATCCGGGAATTCTGCCTCCAGTTAGGAGTGTTATGCTATTCACAAGGTTCAAACAGCAGTGGGTAGCAAAAATGAACTGTACAGAATAACGTGAAGCTAACCAAATAAGATTTTACATTTCAGACAAATGTTAAGCTTTTTTTACACCAAGTTTAGGTATTTTCTCATGCTTGCAGTGTTTCAAAGAATCTCTTTAGGATTTGTCAATTTCTGCTGTTTGCAGAGTCAAGAGCAGCCAAGACTTCGGCCGCAATAAATGTCCATTCTAGACAATGTGCTCCATGCTGTGAAATACTTGCTTCCTCTTTCCATTTAATGGAGAAGTCTGACATATTGCTTATATGATATAAAACCCCTACAAGTGTATCCCCCATAGGGGGAAGCACTTGTAGGGGGTGTAGCTGTGTTTGAAAGGTCAGGCTGAAATTAGCATGACATCTATGGGAAAATAGGTTGGAAAGAACATGTACACCTGTGGGAAAATAGGTTGGAAAGGACATGTACACCTGTGGGAAAATAGGTTGGGAAGGACATATACACCTGTGGGAAAATACATGTAGGTTGGAAAGGACATGTACATACATGGGAAATAGGCTCATGCGTAGGGGCTAAATTTGAAATGGACTTGTCACCTGCAGCTAAGCATAGATGGATCCCAATACGACGCTTTTAGCGTCGATCTGCGCACTTCTGCGTTTGAAAACGAGGCTGTATGTGTCAGCTTCAATTCTTAATATGATCAGACGATCGAAAGTAAGGAGTCAAGACACAAAATACACAAAGGTATGTTAAATTCAGACTTTTCAGGCTGCAAAGTTTTGTGGAAGAATCTTTCAGGATGACTCGACATGTAAAATCAAAAGAATAAATAACGACAATTGACCGCGAACTAATGTACCAGTGATGGTCGTGTATCTTATGCACTGGGCATGGTTTAAACTGAAGTGGCGTCACACTTACGAACCGGATACTCCATGTACTGTGTGGACTCCGCAGGCGCGCGGTCAAGTTCAACACAGAGATCCTCGGTTTCGATGCAGATATGCGCAGACGGCGCTAATGTGAAATCCGTCTGTTGAATCTACCTTAAAACTTTCCACTCGCTTAAAACTAAGACATTGCCGTAGACACAAGACATGGATGTGACTTTGGACTTGACCCTCCTGGTTAGGCTGCTCAGCGCCCTGTTACTGTCATGCTCTGAGCCAACAGTTAAATTTGCCTGTTAGCTGAAAACTTGGAATTTCCTACATGTATGCAAGTACAGGGACAGGCAGACATCTTGACAGGCTTGCCAAATATGGAAGCATTTGGGAAGAATTCCCAAATGGGAACTGTTTTACTTGCATGTCATGTAGCAGTGCATGAATGTTCCCTGCCCAGGAAACCACCATTTATGAGTAACTTCTATCATCCTGTTCTTGAAAAAAATGTGAAGGATTCCAGAATAGTTCAGCCTGTAAGCTGGATGCCACAGGTAATACTTATAGCCAGATTTAAGAAAATTGCATTATGCCAGCAATAAAGTAACTACTATTGTTAACATGAGTTCAATACAAAACCACTCAAATGTCAGACCCTTAAAAGCGTCAACAGAATTTTTGTCAAGGTTTTTTTTCAACTGTACTAAGTATAAAACCAATACGAGGCAGTTTAGTATTTTCAAAGCGTCACCAGAGTTTTTGTCAATTTTTTCTTCAACTGTACTAAGTATACAACCAATATGAGGCAGTTTAGTATTTTCAAGCTGAATGTTTTGATTCTTTTTTTTTGGCTTCCATTTGCCGTTGCTGTAGTTGCTGTTATCTTTTTCTGAGTCACTCTCCCATCATCATTTAACCACCCTGTAGTAGGAGGAAGTGGCTCATTTAATCATTCTGTTCATAAATTTTTCTTATTTTCCTTGTCCAACATAGTTATTAATCCAATGATCTTATTCAATTCTTATTCCAATGATCTTATTCCAAGTTGCCAAGTTGGGTGGCCAGTCAGTTTACTCAGGGATTGAAGACTGTGATCTAGAATTACATGTAAACTGGTAGTATGGTGATTTTAAAAAAGAGGCAATGCTTAAAATGGCATTTGAGCAAGGGGTTAGTGATGAAGAGAGGTTTTGTAGGGGACAGTAGTTATTCAGCTACTCATGATGTTGTTCCAATGGATCAACAGAAGGTTGAGGGAGTGCTATGTCTCGTTTAGCCATGTCCTCCCCTGTGCTGTTTTATGTAGACGTAGCAACACCAACTTTTCAGGGGAGGTTCGATTGAATGCCAAGAAACCAGAACATCCTGTCTGCTGTCTCCTGCACTCACGTCAAGGATCTTACCAATTAAGTTAGTGACGTTTGTCCCAGTGAGCCAAATCCAGCGCAACCTGTCCTGCTGTGATCCCAGCAGAGTGCAACTGCGCAGACTGGGTAAACGACCCGCCCTGTCAGAAGTCAGAAGATAGTCTGAAGGAGTGTGGACGACAGGTCCTCGTGGCACTGCTGGCGTCAGGGAAATGTTTGTCTCCGGAGAAGCCACTGAAGCCTGCATGTTCAAAAGAAATCTTAGTTTATTCTGTGAACAAGCCATCAAAGTATTGCAACTCATGTATGGTTCTTTTCAGTGAGTGCACTTTCTGAAGTTAGATTGCAGTTCACAGAAGATAAGAACCATTACAAATGCAAGCGTTGTTTTTTAGTGTCTGTCTTGGAATCAAAGATTATTACCTTGTACCTGTCAAAGTCTTGAAAGTGAAGGTTTTGAGAAGTGGTGAAAGTTACTGAAAGCACTTTCAGGGCCCCAACCCACTTAAAACCCATGGATCAGAGTCTGAAACCATTGGTACCCCCGTCGTCTGGGGTTCCGGCGCAGGAATCGGGATGCAGCAACAAGGTCTTGGAGAGCCTGGACCGACTCGAAGGAACCCTGAAGGAGATAGAAAAGACTTGCCAGAGCAAAGATGCTGAGGTCTGGCACAAGCCTCGCAAGGACGGCAGAAAGGTTAGTAAGTTCTAAAATTTTGAAAACAGCTTGTCACTTCCTTTCTTTCCTTTTAACTCCTTCCAATTTTTCCCAGGGTTCTGCCAAAACTTATGACAAGTTAATCAGGAAGGTTTTTTTATTTAAAAGTGGATTCTGATGTGCATGATTACTTCAATACTGGCCCCTTCATAGTCAAATATTTAGACTTGTATAATCACAGTCATGGTTGACACCATACACAAACCCCTCACCAGATATTTGATAACTTCAGTGTTTGAGCACAGAGAGATCTTGTATATTCCAAACTAACTTCAGGGGGAGGTTACAGATGTAAGAACAGTGTAGTTGTCAAGCAAGAATAACTATCAAGTGTGAAACTTCAAGTTTATGTCACTTATACCTAATATACTCAAACAGCAATGTTTCACAAAATCCTCACATCACTCTGTGACTTATGTTGTGGCCTCGAGTGCTTGAACCATTTTATTTTTTTTCTAGGTCGATTTTTAATTGGAACATGTCCTATAGGCTGCTCTTTAAGTTAACCCTCTAGACAGCATGACACATGCATGTCTTCAGGAAGTTCCATTATCCAACCCTGTCCCAATATAATACGGGCTTAGTGTACTGATGAAACTGCTCAGTTTGGCTTGGAGAAAAAAATGCATGCTTTAGTTTTGAATCAGGCCCATAAATAAGTTAGAAGAATCGCAATAGTGTTCATTTCTGCAAATGATTATTTCAGACGAATTAAATTGAACATGATTACTGCAGTATCAGGTCCAGAATGTAACAAGGTGTTGAAACCATTAAGCGTAAGATTTTGATGACACTTTCACACTATCGCATTCCAGCTCAAAAGTGAAAAGTGTTGTGAGAGGATGATGGTCTGTGAGTCACTGCAACCACTCCCTTAATCTGCCCTCATGAGAACTTTGAGAATCATATTTTTGAGAGAAAAAAAAAAAGAAAGCAGCAGGGCACATGACATTTCCAATTTTTTTTGGGGGGGGGGTAGGAAGCAATATACTTATTTCATCTATTCTACTTAGAACAGATCGTGGAAATGCTGCTAACTTTTCTAATTGTCTCCCAGATCTATGCCCGTGTCCGCTGCAATGTAATCCGTGTTGGTGAGATCGACACAGTCAAGCAGGAGTTCTCGGCTGAGATCTACCTTGCCGTGACCTGGAAAGAGCCATCAGTCAAGGGCTTGACAAGGGAGGTAAGATGCTGGACAAGCAAAGGGGAGGTCGGTCTTCGGTGCATTAACATGTATTCTGCCATCCTTCATTACAGGATACTTCAGTTCTTTGGGGTCCCAAGCCACATGCACATACAAGATGGGGGAGGGGCATTTGGGACAGCAATTTTAAGAGCAAAACCACTAAACTGGTAGAAGAAAAACCATTATGATGAAAATGCAGCCAGACCTCAGATTCAGGAATTCTTGCGTTTTGCATGAAAGCATGGTGCCACGTCATCATCATCTCAACAGTCATGATCACCAGATAAGTCTTGACTGATCAATGGCATGTATGGTACCAGTACATACGTCTTCACAATTTTGTTTCCAATGTTCAGTTATTTTGCAACCCCTCCCCTTTTTTATGGGAGGGGGGCATGACGGGATTAAGATCCCATCACCCCTTTCCCAGATCACTGTTGTTGGTTTTCAGGAATAAAAAGGTCTAACAGCAGGGAAAGAGTTAACTTACAAAAATATGATTCAATAGAACATCAAAATACAAATTAAAGGACTCTACAGAAACTAATATACATGTACATTTTAATTGAAACAATCTACACGTGGGGCGTGCTGGATAAAGGATAAAAGTAAACATGAACATGTATGGGAAGTTCAAACATAGCAAAATAATACAAGCAGATAACACACATGGATAAAAAGCATTCAGAAGATAAATTGATCATTTTAGAGTTGTTGTGGTTATTCATTTTGCTAAGGATGTGGACTGGGAGGAGCAGTGGAACCCATGTGTGTATTTCTTCAATGCCATGAGCATCGACAAGATGGTGTGCAAACACAATGTCATCTACCCCGAGGGGGAGCCAGATGGAATCCCAGATGCCCAGGTGTCATACCGGATGAAGGCCACCTTCAAGGCTAGCATGAAACTACATGACTTTCCCTTTGATCAACAGGTATGGAATCAGTTCAAAAATCTTCAGACTCTTGATATGCTTCAAAAAGTCCAAAGACTTTGAAGGCACTTTCTGTATAAGCTGTAGAAATGATGACCTATCAACTCGAGATTTTTCCGCATTTAGTAACCTGTGGCGTTCAATGTGAATGAAAGGATCTTTATCTGTGCTGTGCGATACAATGAAAAATGGTGAGGTGCAAGCTAGTGTGCTGTTCTCTCAGTGGAAGACTGATGACAATTCTCATACCTTTGAGAAAGATTTCACCATTGAATATTGATTAAACCACTTTATATTTTTATTTATTTATTTGTTCTTCAAGGAACTGACCATCAAGTTAATGTCAGACTGGCCTTTTACTGATGTGGAGTTTGTCAAGGACATGAATATCAAAGATTCCATTCGATTGGACACATTCACTGGTAAGTCCAAGTTCAGTGGTTTGCACAAGGTCTGTAATCTAGACATAACATTAATCTATAAACATATTATATTCTTCTCAGCTCAGAATCCAGTTCTCACAAAAGTAATGTGGAGGGCTTGACATTTTGATCCTAGGGAAATCTTTCTCAAAGGCAAAATGACAACTAAACAGAGATAAACAAGCAAAAAAGGAGGGGTTGATAAAGCTTTCTCATCTCCCCCTTCCATTTGTCCTTCTGAAGTTCAGATTCCTCACTTGCTCGTCTTTGTCCAGTTGTCATTTGCCTTTAAGAAAGATTGTGTTAGGATTGAAATGTCAGACCCTCTTATTTGTTGGATTTGTATTTTAGGTCCTTGTAGTCAGCAAGCAGTTCGTGGCAGTTTTTGTTTTACATGTTCTTGAAAAAGCAACATACAAATAGATTTACAACTTACTGCATTGCTGCTGTAGTTGAGTGGTATCAATGTTGGTAAATTAATTTAGCAAACACACTGATCTTTTGGTTGTACAGAAAGTACTTGATTGCACTCGGCCATATCTAGTAGAACTTTTTGTTTTTGTGAGAGATGTACATGCCGTGAGCATTAGTTCATCCTGGTTGTTTTGTTTAGTCCATAGTTCAAGTACATGTAGATATCCCAAGGCTTTTTGCAAATTGCAAAGTTGATTCAGCATGTCAGAATATACTATATTCTTCAGTAACTTCCCACAGATCCTCTACCTTGGCATTTTAGAGTTGCTATGGGCTACAGTTAATGTCACTTGGCAGTGTGGCACCATTGATAACTTAGTTTTGATGCCTGCAAAGCAGTTTGCTCAAGTTTTTAAACATTCTTTCAACTCTTTAAAGATGGGACAAAACCCCATCATATCTTGCTCAATCTTTTCAAGATGTGGCCTTGTACAAGGGAGTGTTGACCAATTGTAGCAGCAATTGTTCAACAAGTAATTTTGTCTTTTACAAATTTGTACATCTGTAAAGGGTTCTTTATGTGGTATGTGAATTTCTGTACACACATTATCACCAAATGGTGATCTGAAGCACAAAACTGGACTGATGTGATGAATATTTCTGTCCGTCTTTCAGCTGATGAGGAGTGGGTGTTGAGTAAGCATGTCGTTGCCCAGCCAGTCCTGGAAGACAAGGCCAAGACGGGCTCGCACCGGCAGTATCCTCTCTATTACCTCTCTATGCACGTCAGGCGTAAGAGCGGCTTCTATCTCTGGAACGTGGCACTCATTCTTGTGAGTATATCATTCTCAGAATTCTATTTGCTCCCACGTACTTGAATAGTTGGACTGACCCCTCAAATCTGCACATTGTCTCTCTCTGTAAGGGTAGATCCAGGAATTTTTCCAAGGGGAGTCAGGCCCGTCAGATATTTAAAAATGTCTGATCATAGTGGGCAGGCCAACACATGGGTAATGCCTTACATTGTTATTGATGCACCTTCATAGATGTAGGATGCCATCTTATTTTTTTATAACTAAACTTTTTTGTATTTGGTATTTTTCATTATTTTTTATTTTACGTTGTGTTTCTGTGTCAGAGCAGGAGGGGAAGATAGGACTTTTGAGCACATTTTGACTCATTTTGGAGAGAGTAGCAAAGGATGGCGGGATGAGTGGTAATGCAGTTGGATTCACAGCTGTATTCATGTAACACTTTGACCACGACTTGTGGTAACTTATGCTTTTCCAAGACTGTTTTTACTGGTTGCTTGGTGACACTCAGACACCACACCCCAAACATGACATTTTGGCACAGGAGCTACATTGAAGGTGATGGTGAAGACGTGTATCAGTCCACCTGGGCTGTTTCCTGTTCAGTCTAGGTCTAAATATAGCCACTCACATCCGGAGGAGATAGGAATTTTAATAGCAACAACTGCCACCAGTCTGTTAACAGTTCATTTCCGTGTCGGTGAGGTGACAATACTCAAACTTTGTGTACACGTACGTTGAATCCAAATCCGGTGATGTCGAGTCTCTCTGAGTCATGATGCCTTGAGGGTTATTGCACAACTGATTCCATTCCCCATGACATTTTGTGAAGAAAAAACAGTGCCAGTGATATTTTTGTTCAATCTGGAGATTCGAAACTTTTTTAAAAATGTGGACGTTTGGCCTTTTTCACGTCCTCCAAGTTTTAAAAGCTTTTTCAAGTCTTCACCCCGTGTGACATTTGTAGACCTTACATGTAAGTGAGAACACCTACTGAAGAAGGTTTCAGTATTTTTGATCACCTGCTTCTCAATTAAATTTTTATTCGATGACCACCAACAGTGTTAGAAATTATCGTAAGAGTAAAGAAGAAATCACCTTTAAAATGGCTCCAATTTCAGAACTTTGAAACTACTGTATAACAGTCATTCATGGAACATTTCAAAAGTGAATTTACAAGTTTCTGTTGCACTCAGAATTCATGATTCACTAGTATTCTTTTGATTTTCTGTAGCCTCTCTTTAAAACTAATGTCTCAGTAGGTTTTAAGTGTTAGTCAGGATTGGGGAAAGGTTCAGCACCTCTTAACAGCAGATTGATAAACCATCAACAATAGAAGGGGGAAAATATTTTTCACAAAATGTAGTGATTTTCATCCCCTTCTCTCCTCTCATGTCATTTTTTCTTTTTATTGCCCCAAGGGGTGGGCAAGTGGCCCCTTGCCTTCCTTGTGACACTTAAGGACGAATCCAGTGATGGCCATGACACCCTCAGATGGAGTCAAAAATGTTGTTTGAAAATGAGAGGCGAATTGTTTGGTCTGTTTTGTTTCCTGTCCTTTAAAAGTGTGTAAACCTCCACAATGAAGTCTCACCTCTCAGAAGGGCCATAAAAGGTTACATGAAAAAAAGTCGAATTTTTGGGCTCCCTGAAAAACAAATTTGCTCTTTCCTCCCGAAAATTTGGTTCCGGATCTGTCCTTGGCAGTACCTGTGTTTTCAGGGTTATGCTTGTAATCAGATTAAATGAATTTTTGAACTGTCCTCTTTTTTTGGCAGATGCTGATTCTGATGCTGTGCTTCACATGCTTCGCAGTCAGTCCTGAAGAGCCAGCAGATAGACTGAGTGTAACAGTGACTCTGCTGCTCACTGCCATAGCCTTCAAGTACGTGGTCTCACAGAGCCTGCCAACCATCTCATATCTTACACTACTGGTAAGGAGATAGATGAATAGATACATGAAGGTACAAGTTATTAGTTGTAGTGTAAGAGTTGTAGGTATGAAAGTGACATGTCGCAAACTGTTGAAGGTATGAGCACATTCTGTCACCTTGTTGTGCATCAAGATCAACGGTGCATCTTTACTAAAGGTAGTGGGGGGGGGAAGTGGAACCATTCCCCTCCTCTAAATACAAAGAGCAAGTAGGTAGTTTTGGTGCTATTTAATTTTTTCCCCCAAATGTGTTCAAATGCCTCCCAAATTTAATAGCCCAGACCTCAGAAAAAACCATAAATATTACATGTTGAAATTATTAAACTGTTTATAGCCCCCACCCAAAAATGTTTTAACCCCACGTAAAAAATTTGACTATGCCGTTGGTCAAGACAAAGCCTCCCTCATGTTATGGTTCAACCGGAAAATAGAAGGGCCATCACTTCTTTTCACATTGTCGTTTTCCACATGAGGCCAGCTGAGAGCAAAATGGCAACAAATATTGTAGATTAACATGGACTCCTGTTTAACCTCAGTAGGCCTAATTTGTAGTGGTCTTCAACCTTGGGCGTCTCCAGGATTAGGTGTGGGGGGGCAAAGCACAATTTTCCAAGGAATGGAATTTTTTTGGGAGGGGGGAAGCATTCAACATCGATGAACCGATACAGAATTAACAGTGGAAGGAGGTCCAATTCAACTTTGATTTCTTCAAATTGGTAACTTTCATCCTCTGTGATTTCTTTTTTCATTCTTTTGTTTTTTCTTCTGAGGGAAAACAAGGGACCCTTTTGCCCTTCCTCCCTTGTCTCTGTCTATGTACTGGTGAATCAAGTCATTATGGCATGCTTCTCCATTCAGGGGATATGTGTGACTACAGAAGAGATGTTGGGGTGTGATACACTCTCACTGCTTATGTTCTCTATTTTGTAAAGTATTTGTCTCTTCTCATTTCAATTTCATCCACCAAGACCACCATGAACCTCACCAAAAATTGTTTGACATCCACTTTACATAACCACTTGTTTTATGTGATCAGTTTGGTTCTGGTGTGACAATATCCAGTCATATCAATGGTCATGGATGCTCGGCTTTTGTGAATCATTAAATGCTTACGTCTTAAACTGCCCTCAACTTTTGACTGTTAAACAGGACAAGTATGTGCTGTGCGGGCTGATCCTGCAGTGTCTGATTGTCAGCCAGAATGCTGTGGCCTCACTGTTTGATCCCCAAGATCTTGCTCTCTTTGACATCATCTCCATCTGCGTACTGGCTACCCTGGTGCTGCTGGTGCAAATTATATTTATACTTGCCAGTGCTGTGAAGGTATGTGCCTGCTTTACTGGTTTAGGTAATTTGTACCAACTGAGGGCGCTGTCACCACAAATGCTGTTCATCTATTTCCTGTTCATTATTCTTTTTGGCAAAATTTTCTGCAAAATCACGTCTGTTGAAGAAGCTTAGCCATCATGTTGAGGTTACCATCTGTTTTTTGAAGTGTATATGTAACTGCTTGATTCAGATGGGATACAACCTCCTAAGCCCCCCAGGTTTTGAATTTTTCACGGTGGCAGTTGACAAAATTTCAAGAACAATATGTTGGGGTCATATTTCTTCCATGCATGGTTTGTCAGATCTTTGGGGCCACAGTCAGCCCAATTTAAGTTTTTGTACCAACGCCTGTGACTACTAGCAATACCACTTTGAGGTCAAAGAGCATGATTTTGTTCACCAGTTTCTATTTGTTTAAAACCCAAAAAACCTGACCCCATAGGCAGTACAGTCAATGAAGAACTGTGAATGCATTTTTATTGAAACCTTCTACAACAAGAATGCCCCCAAATGTTACCACTGTATACTTTGCACATTGACAGAAGGACGCTACGGTTGGTAGATTCAGTACAAAGGGGGGGGGGGTTATGGGTGACCTTTTAAACCTATTCCAAGGACAGAGGTGTCGTTGAATTTAATGTGATTTCCCCTTGCTTGCTGGTAGAACCACCCACTTGTCAAAACTAGTATTAGGGATTTTACAAAAATTCATATAGAAAAAAATTTTGTTTGGTGTTTCTCTTTACAGTCAAGAAGAGTTACCAGCAAGCTTCAGAAGCACACCAAACAGTATACAGTGAGTAGGATTTCTCACAGGTTTACACTGGATCAAACCCATTTCTTGGTCCCATAATGACCCCTTCTAGATTGTACTGGCGATGTGCTTAAAATTTGAAATAAACGGTGAATATTTCACCGTCCTCTAGAGAAAACATGTTAATCTGGACTTCAGTGACAAATATTGTCCAGTTAATTTCAAAAGATGTACATGTACTCATCTCATTGTGTTCATCAGATAAACTTAATCTTTCAGAATACTTTAACAACAAGGCACCTGTTTGCTGGAGAAGATTCATAAATAATTTGAAAAGCATGCTTACTAAACACTAAAATGCATTGTACACTATGATATGCAATGACATAAAAGTATTTATTTCCAGTTTTGTTGTATTTGTCTGCTCCCATTCTGTACAGTTTGTTTTTATTTCATATAAATTGTTAACTTTTGCTTGTTTCTGCAAAGTGCCTTGAACACCTTTATGGTGGCTATGTTCTGCACTATATAAATGTCCATTATTATAACGGTTCATTATTACAGTTAAAATGTGACCTCTAATTATTTCGAGAAAAGCTTCTTGAAACAGGTCTGAATTTAAAAGTAAAACAGAAAAGGAGACAGGTTGAGCACTTGCCATGTTGCTGGGCATCTGACTCCAAACAATTTTGAATTCATGTGCCTTAATTGTTGATGGTATGCATCCACGTTGAGCTCTTAAAGATGGTCTGGTGCACTGATGCGATATGTTGGCAAAGCAGGAAGCCGTTGCTGCATGTACATAGCAAAGTACCCTCTTTTGTTTATTGTTGGAGTTGTCAACTCCTATTCTTTCCTCTCGCAGGAACTCTGCGACCAAATCAACCAGAGCTGGCAGGCTCGCCAGCAGCAGCTTAAGGACCGTGAGAAGGAGAAGAATGAGCAGTACACCGGGGAGAAATTGCCGGCGCCCACCATGGAGCAGGTACAGCGCACATCCCCTGACCCACTGCCTCCGAAGGGCATAGTCAAGAGGAAAAGTCGCAGACTCAAGAAAAATAGTGGAAGTTTGAGCTTTGGGGAGGGAGAAAATGGGGTGGAGCTTCTTTCTGTAAAGGTGGGGACCACCTTTTTTTGAAAGAAAAAAAAAGTGATCCTCGTTATCACCATGAAAATTCATCTGTGTTGGTGTTGATGGAATTTCTCAGGTGTTGTGAATAAAGGTTAAACCATGAATTCTCAATGGGCAATTTTTTTTTTTATTCGAAAGGGGTAGTGTAAAGTATCGTCACTGAGAAAGTCTTCCTCAGGTTCTTCAAAGCTTTTGAAAGTTAATAGCTCCAATGGTTTCTCTTCTCTATTGGTTTTTGAAGGAATTTGGAGTCTGACAGAATTAGGTAGATTGAATCTTTATAATTATTTCAGGTGTCAATATACAATTTATTTGAGTAATTGAGGGACAGTGGTGGCTACCTACATATAGATTGTCTGCACTGGGTGCATTAGGTGGATTTGGCTTGGAATGGAAGTGGATCGCGAACAAGCCAAACCGAGTGGACAGCAACTTGAAGATAATGCCTTTTGGCTCAAGATGCTTGACAACTGAAGAATTCCCACTATTTCAGACTGCTAAAAAAATTTTGCCCCTCAGCCACAGACCTGTCTAGGGACACTTCCATTAAAAACTTCACAGCCAATCAGGATTGAGAATTACTCTCATGTGAGAGTAGTTCTGGAAGTTGAACGAAGCCACCGCCCATATACATGTAGTTGGTGTAATTACATATGGCCGGTCACCTCTGGTGTTAAGTTGATGTTCTTACCAGCAGCAGTAGGTATCTACTGCCTTATGCACAAACCTTCATCAAGGATAGTCTATCATCACTGATTCTGTCAATGGACAATTGAAATAACAAAAGACCATGACCATAATGGATGAAGTGAATGTCCTTGCCAGCTGCAGTAGGTACTGCCTTATGCACACATGTGAAGCACGATATGGGGCCTGGGGCCGAGGGAACCCTCCCTGCCTTTGTGTTGGTCATTGTTTGATTGGAATCTCAGGAATTCTTTACAGACTTCTGGGGGGGGGATGTGCTAGGTAACAATAATCTAGAGGGATTGGACATGGGGGGGTACCCCTCGGCCCCATTTTGTGCTGGGCATACATGCACAAACCTTGATCAAGGATAGTCTGTCAATGGACAATTTAAATAACAAATGACAATGCACCCCAATGGTGAAGTGAACCATGTACTCTTTAATGGTCTCTTTTGTGTTTCATTTTATTCTTTCTTTCCAGACAGATATGACCTTGTTTGTGGGGGACATCCCAGCTCAGTCCAGTAATCTTTAAAATGAAGTGGAGAGAAGCTGACAAATGGCCAAGAGCATTGTGCAAGCAGGGGACAAATCAGCAACTCCCCTCACCCCCCCTCCCTCATCCTTCTTCTGTTCTTCCTTTGTCCTGTTCAACCTCCAAACTTCATTGTGTTCCCTGTGGGGCAGGGGATTATTTGTCATGGGGTCTATTGTCCCTATTGTACTCTGTTTCCTGTTCTGTACCAGGACCTTTACAAGAATACCCAAACCTGTTTTGGCAATGATGCGTCGTGATTTTGTTTTATTTGAGAAAAAAATTCCCTTGCTCGTCAGTGATTCCGAAAAGAATTCTGAAGAAGCTAGGCAACTTAATGAAAAAAAATCAACTACCTGGGTGTGAAATTGATACAAGTTGTGGACAGTTTGAATGCAGCACTGCTGAGCTGCTTTCTGGTTTTCAGCTTCTAGTCTGGCCTCGCCTCCCTCTCTGGTTACATAATGGTTTTCAGCCATTCATTGTCTGAATTGGTGAAATGCGTTAAAGTCTTCCCTGTCAACAGGAACATACCAAGTTGTCCATTTTCTCCAACCTGATGTAGCTGAAAATAACGCTTGTAGTCAGCTTGAAGGCACCTGGCACGGGTTTTGTATGCACATTGCAAAGTGGAATCTTTGTTTAAAAACACTTCCACTGTCCCAGTTTTGATGGTCACCTTCCGACAGTTTTGCTTTCAAAATTTCAATCCGCTCTTCATCCAGTTATATTTGTGTGAACAGGAGGGTCTCAACTTAGAATAAATTCATCACCTTCAAACCTGACGTTCCACATAAAGCTGAGGTTTTGAAAATCCATTTCTCTCCAGCGTTAGTGTGGGTTGCATTTATCATTGTTCTGTTTGTTTTTATTGCTGTTGGTGGGGGTGGGATGGGGCGGGGGAGAGGGGTAATGAAGGGTTGGCTCTTTAAAATTACAAATGGAGTATAAGAATTGAAACATTCAGTTATGCTGTCTGTATAAACAAGATTTGAAGATTTTTTTATGAAGACAGTGACAACAGGAATTTTTTTGGCAGCATCATGTAATATTTTTGGGTTATGCAACTTTGGAAATTATGTTAACTTGACATACAGCACAGGTTGAGGCAGTTGTTTTTGGTGAAAAGTCAGGTGAAGTCTGAACTTGTGTGAAATTCTTTTTTGCCATTTCTGTTAAAGCAGTAAAAAATAATTTCCCGTTAAATTTACATACACTCTCAAGCTGAAAGGAGAATTGTGTTTTCAGAATACAATAAAGCTTTTGAAAGGACAACAGTGAATCCTTCCTGCCTTCTGTGGTCCCAAGTCAAGTGAGTTTTGTGTGCTTCCTTGGGAATAAGTCTGAATGACCTAATATAGAATGTGGGTCAAACAGTATGAAGGTGTATATAATGTCAAAGGTCATCTTTAGAGAATTGTGTTTTATTAGCATATTGTGACTGACATGTTGACAATTGAACAACCTGTTTAAGAGACTTTTAATAGTTGGAGAATATGCCCTCACATTTTTCTGTGATATGAATGGTGTGTTTTATCTTTCTTACACTATTCCTTGAGCAACAGCATAATGTAAATAGATACCATGGAATTTGTTAAACATAGTATCTTGTCATTGTTGATTTCAAACTTTTACTTTTGCGTGTTGCAAATTAAGAATTTTTGACTTGCTCAAAGTCAACACAGGACTTCTGAGAAGCAACTTAAAGTCAATTTGAAGTTTTCTGGTGTTGTACTTTTAAGCGGTAGATTTTTTTTTAGAATATCCTACGCACTGTACAACTGAACTGATGAGGTCATGCCTTATCTGTGTACATGATCATATGAAAGTATTGTATATCGCACAATATTTTTATTCATCTGTTTTAGTCTTTTGCAATGGGTGTTTGTGTGATTTATCTATAGGACCAAAAAAACTTTGAATTTTTACAAGGAAGTTTTTTTGACTTACAAATGTACAGTAACTCTTTTTCTGACAGAAGTTTACATTTACTCACATGTATGTAACACGTATCTGTTTAATATATAAGCATGTTGACTGGCTATTGAAGGTTATTTTAACAGTAGTATGTTGGCTGTCATGATGTGGACCCAGTCTTCCACATCTCACTTTTTATAACCACCAGTTGGCTTGTTTTACGCCAAGTCTGTATTATACGCAGTCTTTCATTCACTGCAATACCCTAAGCTGAAATACACCTTACAAAAAAATCCATACTCGACACATTCTGACATGTGCAATTAGTTTAATTCAATTCAAACAATTCCCTGAATATTTTAAAGGAAGCCAAGAGTCTACCCAAAATGTGCAATATAGATGCCACTATTTTGTCTAAATAAAACATTTTCAGAGGGAAGAACCGGTTAATAATGACTTTGTCACCTTTCTTTCTCTCCTGGCAGAGATATTATAGACTTGAGAAAATATCTGATCCCCAACAGCACTTGACAGATTTCCTTTCCTCTGTCTTCTGTCAGTGCCCTTCACCTTTTTTCCAAAGACTCTTTCCTAACCAATTTACAAAATCTGCGAAAATTTTAAGACAATTCCTGTAACGTTTAATTTAAATAATGCAGGTTTAGTTCAATGTACTAGTAATTAGTATTGCCTAAAAATCCCCAAAAAGTGGACAGAAACTCTCCTTCCAAGACACATGACTATCTTGTCTTCTGATGCCAACTATCACTAGATTAAACCTTTTCTTGTCACTGAAAGTATCTCTACATGTGTTCAAGAAAAAACTGCTTTATGAAATGTCTTATGATTACTGGAATACGGTGCATATGCCGACACACTTTTCCAGCACAGCACTTCTTTAAGAACTTCTTCAAGAACTTCAAGGGCTTAACTAGTCAAATTGGAGTTGTCTCTCCTTTTGGGTGGTGCGCGATTAAGAATTAAGTTAGTCCACTTTATACGCTACATTCGTGGAATGCTATGACCTTTAGAATGCTCCAAGTCACTTTTTGTACTTAATTGCCGTGCTAGAAAAGTGAGTGAAATTCATAAACATGACAAGTTTCATTTAAACATTCATTCTCTATGAGTGCGGCAACCTAAAAAATGACAGTCCTCGGTGAACACTGTGCATGTTTCACAGATTAAATGTTACGGTTTGAAGCATCAAAGTCCTTTCTGCAAGCTTAAGGTGCATCAACCTTCATGGGTAGGGGTGATAATGTGGTCATTGTAAAGTGTTTCCTTTCAAAATTCACTGCATTACCAAAAGAAGCAGTTTAGTCATTTTTGTTCTGTAGGATATGCACTTAAAATCCTTCATTCTAAATATAAAACATTTACTTGATAGAAAATTAAAAAGGACATCTTTTGGCAAGAAATACGTGTCTGCAGTCTTTTGTAAGAAAATACAGGCAGTTCAGAACCCATACATGTAGTACAATGATTTGTTTTCAGTGTGGATTCAAGAAATGGAGTAAAACAAAGCTGAATGCCAGGAAATAGTCAAATTTGGTTTAATAATAAGAGGTCCTTGAAAACTTGGCAGATTACCTTGTTACAAGAGGAGCCTTGTATTATTAGGAATGAAATAATGAAGAACAAAGTTCGGTGTCTGAAAATGTCCTTGTTACAAGCAGAATGTATTAATGGTGTTCTTATTAACAAAGTTCGACTGAAGCAAGAAAATACTTAATTGTATTAACTAAATGTGTTGGCATTCATACAACCTGTTAGTGTTACAGTGTCCTGATCCACAGCAAAACAAGCTGTTGTGACTCCCCTTTTTGCTATCAAATACACATACATGTACAGTATGCTAAAATTTCATTGAAAGATTATTTCAGTTCATAGAGTTCCACAGAGATTGGCAGGTAGCCAACCAAAGTTGAATGGCAAACAAGAAACAGAATTTCCGACCCCCGAGTTCTCACTCTGTGAAATTCACAAACAGCAGCAAAACAAATGGTTGCGCCCCAGTAACCATTACAAAAGAGTTTTCATAATCCCAATAATGAATAAAGCTCAGTTTGACCCGATGTATTTTTGGCAGGAAAAACGTATCAAGGGTTACAAACAACATCTGTACAGCTTTGTAAAGACCAACCATGGTGTGAAAAGTTCATATCATTTTGTCTCAGCAGTGCATATAATCCTGCTTCAACACACAAATGTGGCAGTGAGGCATTGTTAATAATAAAACAGCCAAAAATGTACACTACATTTCCAATTCATAACATTGGAAAGTTCTTAATCAGCTCAAACCCCTTTTGAAGCAGCATTTGCTGAACCTGATTTTTTTAAAGGCAGCTTTTGTTTACTGAATTATTTCTTCATAAACTCTGAGTGGTAATATGAAAATTCTTTCATCAAACTCAACCTCTTCCAATTCAGCCACAATCCAACAGATCTCAAGCATAACGCAGTCAATGACAGACCCAAACCCTGAATTAAAATCGGGGGAGAATTCTTCTCTCCCTTGACACTAACCACAACCACAACCACCACCACCAATTAACAACACCCATAAGTTTAATGGACACTTTCATTCAAGCCGACCAGAATGAAGCGAGGGTCAAATTCCTTACTTGAGGATGATGGGTGCAATCATGACCTTGTGGGAGTAGTACTTGCATCCAGGCTCAGGGGTAATTGGAAGCAACTCCGTGGTGATATTCTCTGCCTTGAAGCCGGCTTCAACAATGTGGGGCACTTGGGTCTCCTACAAGGAAACATGCAAAGTTTAGATTTTAGACAAAGATTTTAGATTTTAAATAAAGCAGAGACAGGTTTTGCTCCATGAGATGGTTATAGTTGAGAGCACTACTATGACTTATTCACGAGGGTTAAAAATAATACATGCGTTCACTTTTGTTTTGAGTGTTTTTTGTTATTTTGGAGGAGGGTTAAAGAGTCTTTAAAACACCACAGGAAAGCACCTATTCATTATTTATTAATATAATGCTGGAGATGCATGAGGTTTGAGGGAAAATACAGACTCCACACCATCTTTGCTAGATTTCTGAGACTGGTTTCCATTCAATTTAGGTAGGTATTTGTCACAACACATGAAGCTGGAAGTCTCCAGGTGAGCAACAATTTTTTTACAAAATTGCATGAAGCATCTCCCAAATTCGACTATGTTTGGTGTAAAAAAGCTCTGACAGAGTATAACACCTAGCAATGCACTGTTCTCCTCACAAGAAAAAAAAACTAATCTATCATTTGTCCCCTCACAGCTCTGGAATGAGGCCCTACATTCACTGACTGTGCTTGCTTTTTCTTGTGCAAAGTTATGCATGACAAAACAATGTTGAAGAGCCAAGTGACTAGGTCATGTTTTGTCAGTTGCCAAGGTAACAGCTCAACACAAAAAGTCACTAAACTGTTTTCCTCTGCTTTTGCAATGGATGTTTCAAGTCAATGAACGTTTGTGACAAGTCAGTGTATTGAAGTAACACCATGATAACTGTGTTACACTTCGGTTCTCCATGCGTAATGACAGGCAAAAGATCACAACCACTGTAGTATTATTAATCAAAAATACAAGACTCCGAAGTCCAACTTTTGTCCAAGCATTTGGTATCTGCATAATGCCATCACTGTAAATAGTTTGTAAAGGGTTTTTAAAGCTTTATTGCGTATATCAATACAGTCATATGAACTGACGCGAGTAGGGAAAAAATCCCACTGACCTTAAACATGACCTCTATATCTTGATACTTTGATTTCATCCATTCGCCCCAGGATGTCAGATTGCAGTACGTCAGCACTCCACCTGGTTTTAGCAGCCGATAGGCGTGGTTCTTCAAGAAGGGGAACTGGTGTGTGTGCCACGTGTCCTCTGATAATGGATACGTGTCATACAGAATCCCTGAGGAGACATTAAAAAAAAAATTGCCAAAAAGTTCAGCAAATTTTAGCAGCAAACGTCCCTCCTTGAATGATAGCACACTGGTGACTGGGTCAAAATAACAATCACACAAAACGCTTCCTCATTTTAAAGAAAAAGTGACAGCCCTGCTGTCAGAACTGATGCGGTTTGTGTTTGGAAAAGAATCACAGCAAGTCTGGAATAGGTCATGCAAGGCCAATTTTTCTGTTAATTAACCAATTTAGTGACAAACGCGTTCAAATGCATCTGCATTGTTTAAACCCAATGTTTTAAAAGTGGTGTTTTTTTCCCTCTTTTGTTTTGAAATAATTGTTTCTAGTTGTACTATTTCCTATCTTCCAAGAATCAGTACTTTGAACTGTGTGTGGTACTGTACATTCAATGGCAAACAAGAATTTTCTTGACAGTCTGGTAGACCTGTATATTCACACTTTCCAAGATTGGAGTCAAACCAAAAAAAAGTACCAATTTGCTTTGTGCAATAATAAAACCTCAGCAAATATGATGCCACAGTTCTCACCTGGTCTTCCATAGCCTGTGGCCCAAGCATGGCCCCGTTTACGAATGGAATTTTTTTTGCGGGGGGGGGGTGTTTTGTTTTCTAGGGCACTGCTCTTTTTACCATTTGCCAGTTTTAGTACAGATGACTTTTTTTCCCTCTTACACCTGTGAACACACAAAAAACTCTCTTAAGAGAGAGGACAGAGTAGGACTATTTTTCTGTCCCAAAGAAGAGAGTCTGTTTGGAACTTATTACCATCAAATTGCCCATCCTTGAGGGTGGGAACCACTTCTTCCCACATTCCCTTCAGTGGTGTTACCTAGAAAGAGAAAACCACAGTAAAAAGTATCACACAAAATCCTCAGTAGAGAAATGTAAGATTTAAGTCCAGTACAGTGCCCTAAAAGTTGAGTCCCTAAATTAAACAAAGTGGATAAGAAACAAAGAAAAGCTTAGCATTTTGAAATAGTGAATACAATACATCAGTGCTGAAGGACGTGGTCTGCTAGTTGTCACTGATCCAAATTACATATTGTACATCTGGCTATCTTTAGATTGGCAGCAATTGCTGGTGACTGGAGATATTAAACCTTTGGACCTATACATGTTAACACATAACACACTGATGATTACATGCACAGGTGCAGCACAAGCTCCTTTTCAAAGTAAATGAATCCCGACCCTACAGGACTGCAAAAAATTACCCAGAATTTGGAGGGATTGAGGACCGTTAGGGTTGGATGTTTTGTTGATTCAGTAACCAAGTTGCTGCGCATGTCAATTTCTTCTTTGTTATAAAGATAATCACTTGCTTTTGGGCATGATTAGTAAGGGGTACTGCAGCATACCTATTTCTATGGAATGAGTTTTTATGTATGGCCTTTGACAGAAGTGGCAAGTTTCTTTTGCTGTCCAGAGTACTTTACCCATTTTTATCTCTGTTCTTGTGCTATAAAACCCCTATTACGGCCGCAAGGTCAAGAAACTCTGTAGGAACGAGAGCCATATTATGACATCATCAAATTGCTAGATTTGTTTGCTGCCTTTATTAACACTTCTAACTCTGAGCAATCTCGCTGTGGAACTGAACTCCCAAAATGACGATTTTTATAATAGCAAAGAGAAGCTGCCACGTTAGTTAGTCATGATATGGGTAATAATGACAAACTGCCTGTTAGAAAGACCATTTTACATAAAAGCAATGTGACTGATCTTTAAAGACTCATTAACTCTTCTCTCAAATGAAAGAAACCACAAGCACATCTGCAGTGGCTGATGAGAAAAAGCTTGAAATAATGTTGCACAATCCACTGAGAAAGTATCAAAGTGCAATGGATTCTAGAATTCCCATCCCACAAAGTGGACTGACTGCAGAATGGTGCAAATGATAAATTATCTTAAAATGTTACTGCCAAAATGGTTCTTATCCTACTTTTGAAATTGCAGCAAAAATACGCTGTGAAAGAATAGGGATGAGGAAAGGGGCTTTTTATTAATGTGTATTCAATAACTACTCTTAAAAAACAAAATAAAAGCAAGCTGGTTTCTGGAACAGGTTCTAGCACCAAACTTGGATAAACATCTGCTGCAACGTTAAGTATGCATCACGTGGGGACAAATATGAAAAAGTCTCTATGCTACGCCCATATCGTGGTTATAATAATGGAGTCCAGGAACTAAGTACTCATTTCTGTCCCAGGAAAAGAAAGCAATTAGAATGGAGACAAATTAACAAAACGCAGATCAGACTTAGGGACTTTTTTCAACGCAGTTTTTGGACTTATGAGGTATCGGACCTATGAGGCGTCAGAATTACGAGCTGACCCAAAATCTACAATTACAAATGTACCAGTACTTTTCAGAAGAACTTGTTAGAAGGTTTGTGTCTAATCCTAACCCCAAGGGTGTATGTAAAATCATAGTGAAATCGGAGGATTAAGGACTGTTTCACTGTTAGGACTATTGGTGCAATTAACACAGAGAAAACTTGACACAAAAGCCTACATGTAACACTGAACACTTGCTGATTACAGGTGAAGAGCAAAACAAGAGAGGAACAAGGAAGGGGGGATTAAAATTAAATAAAGGTTCAAGCATTTGGTCTGGTGATTAAATGCCAGTCAAACCCTCATTGAAGTGGTCCAGTGGATCAGTCAAAACAATTGTCAACACTTGCACTTTAACCATCAAAATGCCACTGACGACACGTGTCCACAACAATGAAGTGTGTTCAATTCCCCTGTATCACATCACTTTTTGCGACACAATATCACATTGTGCTACACACTTTCTAATATAAATAGCTCATGTTACAATGCAAAATGCACAGGGATTTCTGATTTCCACACTGCCTTATATGCTTGAAAGTTATTTGACATTAATACACATTCAGCTGGGCACACTGTCCTTTGAAATACACTTATCAGTCTAGAGTATTGCCATATATGGGCATAGTGACCTTTCCCTACTGATAAAGCAATTTTTGTCTAAATTCAATTTTAAATATCTCAAATTAGCAATGACAAATTTTAAATGAAATCAGTACATACATGTTTTAGACCTTCTAGTTTATGTCTGCAGTCAGAGTTTTTTCCCCAGCCAATCACATTTTTGTAAATGAAATATTTTGTTAGTGGAAAGTGGAAGTGGGATGTGTTGCAAATGTGAAATTAATCAAGGAAAGAGTAAAAAAAAGGTCTACTGACACTGGTGATGGATACTTCGTTTTGGACTAATGTACTTATGCTTTTACAGAAAGCACAGTGTTTATGTACTGCCATCTGTTTGCTGGTGAGCCTACACAAAAGGCCAGATTCTTTCAACCACACAATTTAGATCTTCAGAAAAAAGGGGGTAAAATACAGCCATTTTTATTCAATTTTCAGGCACTTCAGGTATCAGGAACCCACTGCCATCCCTGATTATTTTAGGACATTTTTTCGTTTTTCTCTTAAAATGATTTGAAAGACAATTTGAAGAATTTGTTTCACTGTGTTCCTTTATGTGGATATTAAGTGATTTCACGCAATTATATTGCCCAAAAACTTGGAACAAAATTATGCAACTGCTATGCAAGCAAAATATTGCATAGCAGTGTTAACTATGCAAATACATATTTTATGGAAATTGGACACACAAGACTGAGCACAAATGGGCATCTCTGTCCAGTCGTACAAACGTTCTATTATACAGTGTCAATTACATGTTTTGAATCAAAAAAGTTAGAAGACCAGACGTTTCGATCTTAGCATATCTTTTCTCAAATGCAAAATGAGACAGATTCTGCGAGGAACTGCATTGCAAACGTCTGGCCCTCAACTTTAATTTGTACTTTAGGTCTCTGTAGGCAGCAAGGCCTTTTACAGCAGCTTTGTATTACTTTTCTGGAAATTGGGGGAAATGGTGAGAGAAGTTTGGATGTAAATCAAGAAATATCTTGGAATAAAATGCAGCAATAATTGCGTCTTTACTCATATATTCAACCACCAAATTGGTGTGGAATTTCTGTTAGAGATTTATTTTTGCACTGTGCAGCAAATACAAAATTAGAGGACCAGTCAAAACCTTGGTGGGCCAGTCAAGATGTGGCTCTACTGGTCCGGTCGGCCAGTCATAAAAAAGTTATGGGGAAACCTGTGTCTCTTAACATTGGCTACGCTAGAGGCTGTGACCACAGAAGTATTGGAGAAATTGTCCTCTTGAGAATGCATCCAGGTTGCTGACTGCCAAGTCCAGACAATGATCCCGTTCAAAATTTCACGCCTTTCCCATTCACTCCTTTTATTTGACCGAGGACTTTTGACTGTTTTTCTTAAAACGACCAAAACGATACAAATCACTGGAATACAGATACCTCCTTCTGGTACTGGCCTCAGCACGGGGGCTGAGTCTTAATCTCAGTCATAATTATGTACAATATTGTTTAAGGAGAAAGTCCTACTTCTTTCTCAAAAAGAGAGGCGAGTACTGCATTCGATATACATGTACATTGTATGTATCCCGCGTGAGATAAAAAACCCACCATATTGGCAGTAAAATCTTTGTGTAACTTATATGTACATTCTGTTTAGTGCAGTGCACCACTGGTCAAGTTCTAGATCCATAAATTGCTTGACCCATTGACCTCTGGTGGCTGGCACACAGTTGAGTCCAGTGGCAGTGGATCAATACAATATCATGTTTGGATAGCCCAAGTTGGTCCAACACGTACATGCATGAAAAGTTTCACGTCTACAGCTGAAAGTCCATATCCTGTTCATTCTGACTTCAACGTGAAAAATGAAAATTAAATCTACCCCACGTACATACCTTGTGTGGTTGTTGCTCGGCCCACTCTTCCAGTCGTTGGAACACGCCATCATTGCACTCAATAATGACGTGTTCCGTGATATTCTGCTCTTCGATCTTGCTTGCAGCGATGGCCATGCCAAATCCAATCTCCAAGACATGCCCACCTTTTGAGAATGAGCATTAATAGAAAGATATATTGACAACATATAACTACAATCAGTAATGCAAGGAACACAGACTTTTAGTTTCTTGGATGGATACAGGGCCTCAAGTTTCCAACTCTACGTTTTAATTGGCCCATTACTTCCAAAAGAAAATTTCCAAGTAAAAGTTCTAAGGCAACATTTAAAATGAGCAAACTCGTATGCTTCCAACGATCCTTAGGGTCAATGGCAAAAACTTATAGTGGTAGATGGGAGGGGACGGGTACATCATGGGTGTGGTAAGGGGGAGCAAAGGGTGTACTTCCCCCCCATAAAAACTTGAGAAATAAGAAAAGGGAAGATGGGGAATACAGTGAAAGAATTGAAAAAGAGATGAATTGATAAAATAAATTAAATAAAAATAAGTTTGCTTGAAAACAGCTCAAAACTGACTCCCTCCCACTCAGGGGTCAACCTCGGAAATGAAAAAGGATTCTTAAACGGGGGTATACACCCACTGCGGGACTAATAAGGAAAATTCTGTGTGTTTTACAACGTACATGCCATCCAGTGTCTAGTGGTTAACTGAATGAATTTAGTTCTAAATTGAATGCGTGAAAGTACATTTTTTGATACCTGCAAATGAATTTGAGCTGAATAAAACACAATTAGGTAGAATGCGTAATAATGAAGTTAATCTTGATTTTTACAAAAGAGGGTGAACCAGAGACTACACGAGATTCCAGTGACACATTCAGGGTAATAACTCACAGAGATATTGGGCCTGAAATATGACTTTCACACCTCAACTTAAGGGAAAGAGGCCAACGAGAAACTAACCTTACAAAATAGTGGAAAGGGAAGGACGGCATGTACTCTCTGACTCGCTCTTTCCTTTTTTTTTTAACCCTAACTCACGAAGTGTAAGCAAACACAACAATAGTGATGCTTTATTCTTGTAAGCCAAGGTGAAATTTAATATATGTAACTGTAGACATGTTAATCTTCAACTTTGGACTGAAAACCACCAAATTTCACATGAAAACAAAACGTTAACTTTGAACATGGCTTGAAAAGTCAATAGATACCAATTTCAATGTGACTTGAAGGAAAAGATCTCCCGATTGTTAGTTTCATGTTTGTTAATGGACAATCATGTTTGCACTTTGTGCCACAGAAAGTACAAAATACCATATTTTGAAAAACTTGAAGATAATAGTAAAACATGACAAATAAAAGATGCCCATTATACAGAATGGGAGAGTACATGTACATACAAAATAATATGAGAAGTACATGTATGTTCCACATGACTTGTACAATTGTACATAATTTCAAACAACATATTACAGATCAGCTTAAACCCTGTTTCGCTCAGCGGTCTCTCAGGCACATCCTGTAATTATGACAATGACATTTTGATAATATGGTTGCAACATATGGTCATTGGAAAGACAGGCGAATTCTGTGATCCAAACCCATGAACAAATCCAAAACAGTTTCTGTTTTGACGACGTGCAACGATGTGACTGCACATGTGCAGCTGGAATCTCATGCAATCTCTTCCAATATATCAAAATCACCTTTTATTAAAAAGAACAAACAAAATCCCCGCAAACAAACGACCAAAACTAATTTCTGAGACTAGATGAACTTTCTTTTTTTTAATATCTGTGTAAAAAGGGGCTTGTAACAAGCTTTCTCTCCTCGGATGATATGATTTTTGGTGTGTTTACGTGTACACAGCAGGATTGGAAAATACACATGTAGATGGTCCACCTTCAGCTGTTGTGTGATTTATTAACAATTATACTAATAATTTATTCATTTATGAAGCACAAATTTCATTTATATATGTTCAAATGTGCTGTACAATGAAGACATTAAGTGTGGAACAATGACTGTACGGTAATCTCCCACCATAAAATGCAATGCATCAAATTGCATGTACCAACCCAGCATATCCATGTATAACGACATGAACATGGTACATGTGGTTGTACATGATAAGCATCAGGGAACACACCTGGCTTAACCAAAAACTATCTTGATCATAATCAAAATGAAAAATTTGATAAAATATTGTACTTTTTCTCTGTTGGGCTCATTTTAGTGACTAAAGCCAAGCAACTCCTTGTGCTTAATATGGTGAACAATTTGTTGTAAGAGGGTAAGGAACAGTGTGACATGTCAAAATGAGTTAGATAGAAATTTGGTAAAGAGGACAGGTCTATATGTATGTTGGAAGACAATCAGTTGGTCAGCACATTGTTGGTTGGTCAAGTCATCTATCTTGCCAGCGTAATAGTATACACTATTTACTTGAATGGTTGTCTCTGCATTCATTCCAGAATGTTTGGTAAATTTCCTGATTCCTCTCAAACTCATTTCATGATAACTTCATATGATATACATGTATATAAAAAAATAAATGAATTTTAAAAACTGACTTTCATTTAACTAGAAAAATAGATTTCTTTCTGATTTAGGGAGCCCTTTTTAATGTTATTGCTCTCAATTCTGACCCAAACCTAACCCTGGTTTTGGCTCCCAACCTAAAAACCCTGTTTTTTTCAGCTGACCCCTTCTACACTATGACAAGAAGAGAAATTAAAGACAAAGACACTCTTATGTGCAATTTTTCCCCAAGAATTTTAGGTCGTTTGGGTCAAAAAGATACGAGAACCATGGAATAAAAAAAGAGTGCCCTCATCTTTGATTTATTCCTTTTGAACTGATTACCTATGCTGGAAGCCTTATCACAATATTTCATTTAAATCTGGCATGCAGTGAGCCTTTGTGCTTGACTGCCAGACTGTCCATTCAGCATGAAGTGTTAGTAATATTCAGATAATATTGTGAAATAAATGTAAAAGTACTACACAAATGCTTGGAAATTGAGAGATAACAAGAATTTTAGATTTGATGGAATTTTAAAAACTATTCCTAACAGAAATCACCACTTTTGGGACTAACTAACAAGTCATGGAGAACAGTGAGCACACAGAAACATTACCCAGTACCTTTGCTTGCAGCAATGGTGGCTAGTTTGTGCATGTACGGCGTCTCCCATCTCTCCATGACCGGTTTACCCATAATCTCCAGATGTGCATCCATCTCATCGAAATTGGCCCCAGCATCCTTCCAAGAGGGTGCACAGTCCTCCTTGTTGGCAAATATCCTTGTGTCACTGACTGACATGGTGATGCTGGACACTGCCAATCCTAGTGATGATGCTGTGAATGAGATGCCAACAACAAAACACATGGATACTACAGTGGATATGTCAGACAGCATGTCTCAAATTTTAAAACGTCAGACCACAATATTCTTTAAAGAGTAGTTACATGTAGGATTCCAAAAGTACATTTTTTTGCAATTTTTATGAAAGGGGTTCCCGAGGTTGGTAGTAACTGCACTTTCGCTGGTTCACAAACGACAACGTAATGCACACCTTACAGTCACATCGCTACCAACAAAATGAAAACTCCCCACCAACATGGCTCTTTTCCACCGATGAGGAGTTGCTTCTGCTCAAGGCAGATTCCTTAATATTAGCATAATATGAATGAAATACAAGAAGTCTTGTCCATCTCTTAGGCAATATACATCCGACTTCTGTGCAAAATAGTGGAATACCCACAAGTGCACGAGCTGAGAGCAAAGTCAAACCAGACAAGTTTCAAAGCCAACTTGTAGGCAATCTAGTGATCTGGACGCCACAACTTCCTCAAGAAAACTAAAATACTGATCTAACTGTTCATTAGGCAAATTTCTGGCTGTTCTCCTCCTTGACCACGTTGACAGACTTGGAGATTGCCCGAAATCTTCTGCCTGTAAGATGTATTACGTGCAGCAGATATCAGTTAATCTTTAAATCACTGTCGACATGGTCAAGGACAAAACTCCAAGGAGAACAACCAGACATTTGCCTTGGAGTCGGACATGTACATGTATGTAGGCCCTATCTACCATAGGCAAAAAAAAGGTATTCTTAATAGGCCTAGGCCTGAATCGGATCAGCTGAACTAAAAAAAAAAAGCCTAAAATTGGACAAGAATGCAAACTGACAATAGCGTGGATATAATGACTAGAAAACCTTTGGCCACAGTACAGGCCTTGCCTGTAACTGACCATGGCCCATGAAACGGTTGATGTTCAACTGGGCGCAGTCGGATCATCCATCATCGGAGGATTAGTACGGTACATACATGTACATGTAAATAGTAGAGGCCTGATATCAAATCTCGAACTTAATTTCCTCTTTTCAAAACATGCTAAGCGCCGTAAATGAGAAAGAAGTAGTTATCGACTCATGGTGACAGGATCGTGTCATAATAATGCATGATCGACCGATCGCACAGACCCACCACGATCGTACGTGCCCCGCCTTTGGCAAGTTACAAAGCCACACAAGCGAGTAGCTCTTGGCCTGGCCCAGGTGGACTCCTCATAAAGCAATGAAGACTGACGTCCAACCTAGGCCAGCTTCAGGCCTGTTACATGCAAATAAACTGCATCCCCAATACAAGAAGGAAAACTTAACAACATTGTAATAGTTGAACTGCCCCACAGCTTACCAAGCTTTGAACTCGACGTAGGGCCGACGAGACTCGACAATGAAAACGAACAAACTTCTGCGAAAGGCGGCGCCGCGCGCAGTGCAGGTGACGCGTGAGCGCGCGTGGCTGCCGTGTTATTGTACACATGTACATGATATGTACGTACGTGTGTACGTACGTGCGCAGATGTTCGGAAGAACTAGTTATTACTTTTTTACGGAAGTGTATTGGTGCCAGCGCACAAAAATATAAAATATAAATACAAGACAATTAGTAATAATTCATAATAACGAATTAGCAGTTGAAAATAACAGTAATTCGAAATAACGAATTCGTTTCCAACTGATTTTTCTGGTGGCACGATTGAGCTATCGTATTTTATGTTGGCTTGGAGGTACCCCATTTCGTATAGACACTCTAGACTACCTCCATGCCTATAACTACGAAGCCTAATTCTGCAAATGAAGTATAAATTTTCAGCCTGACGGAAATTCGTTTTAACAAATTACTAATTCGAAACAACGAATTACTAATTCATTTTTAATGCGCTGATCCACAGAGCACTAGATGGCGCTCTTTATTTTCTTAACATCAAACAGAGAGATGCCAGATGTTATGCGCCCAGGGCCCTTGGAATCACAAAAATATATTTATGCGATTAAGGGTGCACCCACGCAAATAGGCAGGAAAAATGTCGGGCAAGCTCATTAATAAATGTTGCACACTTAAAATATTCTATACTAGAGTCCTGAGAGCCATGGAATTGGGGAATTGAAGAAATATGGCACTGAACCTCTGGCTCGGACTCTGGGCTTCCGATTCTGAGCAATTGAAGTTGAATGCAGTGGGGCCGAAAATGGCACCATTTAGCTGTTTTGCAGAAGGATGCATTTTCAAAATTTCTATTTTACCGGGCAGTGAAATTTCCTTCATTTTAAGCATGGTCTGCTTTGAGTGAGAATTTCTTAAATATTCATCGGTTAAGCCACTAAAAATTCACAGAAAAAATGCTAAAGGACATGTCGGACATCATTTTGCTGTTCAGCTTGGACATCTCTAAGAATTGTGAGTATTTTTAAAAAGATTTTGAAATAAAAGGATTTATCTGCGGTGTCTATGGGACTTTACTTTTAGGGGTGCACCCTTACACGTATGAATCCACGCAAAACAGCGCCATCTGGAGGCTCACAAGTAATTCGTTATTTCGAATTAGCATTCGTTATTAAGAATTAGTAATTTGTTGAAAGGAATAAGTAACCCGTTAAAACAAATTAGTAATTATTTAAAACCAATTGGTTATTCGTTTTTTCAAATGAGTAATTCTTTATTTTTAATGAGTACTCGTTATTACGATTTAATAATTCGTAATTAGTAATTCGTTATTTCGAATTAGTAATTCGTTAAAACGAATTCCTCTTAGGCTGAAATTTTTTACTTCATTAGCACAATTGGGCTTACGTACGTAACACATCCCCCCTAGATATATGGAAAGAATTCCTGAAATTCCGGTACACGTATAACAATGACCAACACAAGGGGGGGGGGTCTTTCCGTCCCATGTCTTGCATCAAATTGTTAGCTGCGGGATTTAGATGTTACGCGCCATACTAAATTTTGTGACTCAAATTAGGTAAAAAAGTCTAATTGAGTCACAGTATGTCGTTGAATAATTACCTTGAGTCACTTTGAGTCACATGGCGGCGAAAGCCGGGGGGGGGCTTAAAGGATATTTTTCCGCAAGTTCATTTATTCGAGATAATCTCCCGTTCGTTCCCGTGAGATATTTAAAAAGAAACACTGTTAATTCCATTTTTGGAAAAAACTCGTTTTTACAAGATAGGCCTATATTATTCCAAGTTCGTTTCTTAGGAGATTTTTTTCGTTCGTTTTCCTGACCTATATTTTTGAAGTTCATTTTTGTAAGAAATACATCCAAATCGACAATGTATAGGGTCTATCTCATGAAAATTAATTTTGAAAAATATATGTCATAAAAAACAAACTTCATGAAAAACATACCGTCGAACACAGATAAGAAAAGCACTGTTAATACAAGGTCATATTTATAACAAGGACAATTCCAGGTCCCATTTTTTTATTTTCTTTGTTTTTCCATTACTGATAAGGTAACTATTATAACAATTAAGGTAATTTGTGCGTTGAAGTCCCAAGGACCTTGTTAAAACAGTGTTCCTCGTAAAAGCGATTTGTTTCCAAAAATCAAATCAATGTTGCTAAATTTAGATCTCATTAGAACAAACTGGAAAGTGTATGTCTCGAACAGACAAACTTTTGGAAAAACTGTATCTAAAAAGACGACTTTTGTCCGAGACTCGAGAAGGGTGGATTTCCAGAGAGCCTTGGCTGCCCACGGACTACGACATCGCGAGTCAAGGACGGGTGGACCTAAATCTAAATAAGAAAAGAGAGGGCGCTATTTGGAAGTGCTGTTCGAGGTATAAAGACAATGTGGCGTCACAGACTGCTGAGATACCGAAGCGTATTGCTGCTAACGCGAACAAATTATTCTATCTCGTAACGATATAGTTATCTCGTTTATAAGAGATATCTACGTGTATGTTGTTTAAACGAGATACTATTAAAGTCGTTTAAATGAGATACAAAGTCACTTACACGAGATTATAAGTCGTTTAAAAGAGATAACAAGTCGTTTAAACGAAGTAATAAGTGGTTTAAAAGAGACAATACGTCATTTAAACGAGATAAAATATTTTTTTCGCGTTGGCAGCAATAAGCTTCCGTACTGAGACTCATTAATGCCATCAAATTATTATCTACGGTATAAGTTTCTCTGAGATATACTCATGGGTTCGAGTTTAGCAGCATAAATTTTGGTACCCAAATTGGCATTAATTCTTGTGGTTAAAAAGAGGTTTTTTGAATAGCTTGAAATAATTAGAAGAGTAAGACATTCTAGGTGGTCTCCACTCGCGAGAGCTATCGGTATAGTGTCATTTTTTTCAGCGCGTGAATAAGAGTGGCGCTTTCATACTGTCAAAACCTTTCCATCAGGCTTGGCCGGGCCGTTGCAGTCTTGGCCACTTCGTTGACTTTGCACTTTGCTTATTGACGTACTCTCTGTAGACATTTTTTGAGCTACGTCACAAAGCGCAATTTTGCCAATTAGTGGTTGGAAAAACCATGGCTGGCCGTGAATACAGAACCAAAAGAATAATTCACAAAGTGTTCACAAAAAACTCATGAATAATTCAAGAACAAAATACTAAATGCTTCGATCTGTTTAATACTAAAATAAATGTAGCCACCAAGTCAACACCAACAAAACAAAATGTGCATTTTAGTTAAAAGTTGTTGTCAGGCAAAGGTGAACTTTCTGTAAATTTTAGCCGCTCATTCAAAATGGCGTTTAGTGTTTGTAAACAAAATTAATGAAGGAAAGGACATCACTGAAGAGGCTGCAGGTAAGAGGAAGGCCTCTATCTCTCAATTGTACAAATTCCGGATAACTATGGACCAGGAACAATGCGGCCTACTCTATCTTTTTATCGTTCATCGGTGAGAGGTAATCGTACATGGAGCACGCAACATGGAGTATTATGCAACACCAATTTACCAATCACATACTATGTTAAAAAAAATGTATGAACAGACTGTGTTCATGTGTCGGCCATCTTGAATTGAAAGTGAGGGTAGCCTTTGATTTTGGAAACATAAGTGTAAAACTAAAGCAACGAAATAAAAGTTCATTACAAATTAATGGCAGTTTTTATTTCAAATAATTTAACATTTTTACATGTTTTAAGCCACATTTAAAACTACTGAACGTGAGGCTTGGAGCCCCCCAAATAGCCTTACACCAAACCATTTAGCATATTACATTTAATATGACATATTCAAGGAACATGACCGAAACCAGATTCCCATGAATACTTCCTATTTGAGAAATATTTCAATAATAATTACGAAGTTGCAACAATAGCCATATCTGTGCGCTTAACATGAGACTAAATCTTAATTTGTAGCAGCGAATACCGTAATGCACAGTCTCATAAAGTGCACAGCACATAAATTCATTTCAGCTAATTAGGTTAATGGATCTCTCCAAGAGCATCTCATAATAATGGTGTACGGATTCAATAGCACAATCCTAGCGCTGTTTTCAGCAGGTTGAAGCATTCGACGGACTGACAGTCTGCATTTCAATTGAAAGTCTGAATTTGCAAAGTGTTTTTTTTGGGGGGGGGGGTGCTTGTCACAGTAGGGAGCTGATCACAGGCCCTTTAATATGCCCAAAACCACTAGGCATATACCTTTAATGGTTTCATGTTGCTATTACAGTTTACCAGGAATTTGAAAATATATTTACCCAATTAAAAGTTATCGTGGGCCGTTGAGGAGGAGTTGGTCCTTTTTTAAATCATAAATGTTGACACTTTATGTGACTGATAATTCCGAATGTAATAATGTTCACTGAGGGCCTGTGGGTTTACGTCTTGTTAGTATGGACATAAATACGGGGGAGGGGGTATATATCCCAGACTTTTGAGATGTGGTACCCTAATGAACCATCCCCCAATACTTTATGATGAGCAAAAAAATTAAAGCAGACTGTGAAGAATTTATAGGATTTCCCAACGACTAAAAGGTTTTTGATATAATAAAAAGGAAAACAATTTAAAAAACCATAAATAAATTCTGATGTAAGATTCTGCATAAATTTGATACACATTACAGATGTACATCCATGAACATCGAAGCATATGGTGTAGCCTCCCCCCCCCACTTTTCAAATATTCCATGGCCAGGTTAGGTTCCCCCCC